GAGTAACTTATACAGAGAGCTCCATCAAATAAAAGAAGAATGCTGGTGCTGAAACGGGCAGCCTCGAAATTCGTGCCTCGATTGTCGATGACATAGCTAGCTTTGCCTCGTGGTATAAATGAAAACTTTACAGAGAATCAAAACTGAGTCATGTGAAGTATAGCAAGCATGCATCACAGCAGCAATGACAGCAGGGGATCCCATAAACTCTTCGATTTTGTCTTTATTTTCTTTCTCATCATCACCCTTACAATTAATGCGGAATGGCGTGGGTGCTGCAAGGCAAACGAAAGAAACACGCGCACACGCAATGACAAAACGAGTTGAGGTCGAAAAGGAGCCAGGAGAATGCCAAGAACTCATGTGCAGCACAGCGAATATAGCACGTCAGGAGAACTTGCACTTGGAAAAGTCCATTTCTGGGTGCTGAGACATGAATCTGCAAAAAGAAAAACAAAACAATTGGTGGAAAATGCAACAGACAAAAATCCTTTTAAATGACGACGACCAAGGCAAGGAATGCACGCACTTTTTCAACACGTCCTGTTTCTTTTGCTCTTCTGACGTGGGCAGGCCCATCTCTTTCTGGCGCTGGTCGTACATCATCTTCTCCACCATCGACCTCGTCTCGCCGTCCAGGTCACTCAGCTTCGACGATTCCGGGTCCACCTTTTTGGTGTCAATCTCCAACGGATCGTTCGTCACAACACGTGTCCACCATTCCATGCGATTCACCTATACATTTGAGAAGAGCATTGATGGCCCAATGCTGCTGATTTCTAAAGAAAAAAACACCAACCTTTTCTAAATTGATGATGAGCGTTTTCTTATCCTCCAGCGTCCAGGTGCAGTCCTCCACCTTGATGTCATTGAAGAGAGGACCATCAATGACGAGCGGCGAATTTCCACGGATTCCAGCCCGAAGCGTTTTGCGCCCAAATTCCACCAGCAAATCCCGACCGCTCCTCACCGCACCCACCGGCAGCGGCACGCGCACCTAATTACATTCCAAGAACACGGACTCCTTACAACGACAATGACGGAACATCATCAGCCGAAACATGAACAATTACATTCAGCGGAGAGCAATACAGTGCGGTACGGTATCCGTAGATTGTCAGCCAGAAAATTCGTCACCTCAACTCCTTCACCAACTGAATATCAAGGTAGATTCCTCAATGCAGACCCAAAGACTTCCGCCAACCCCCCTTTCCCCGTGAAACACCCAAGTGGAGAATAATCATGACGAGCGAGTCGCACGTTGCCCAGGTGCTGCAGACTCGCCACCCCTGCATGAAACAATCTGCTCTGACTCTGAAGCCCTTCAGTCACTCCCATCAGCCGGTCGGTGAACAAACCATTGAGGATTGCGAACGAGGACCAACCCCAGCTTTGTTCGTCATTGGAAATTTGCTTGCAACAACGATTTCTGATCAAGAGCCACTGTACATTGCGCGAAGTCTCCTCAACAGAAAAGAAAAACACTCCATGCAACAAAACGGCTGCATGTGAAATCAAATGCCCTCGAACTCCACTCTCCCTACAGAAACATTCCAGGGCCTGCCCACAAGTTCGGGTGCAACACGCATGTCCAAGCTACCAAGCTCACCTCAACATCTGATAGCGTCTGGACCCAGGAGTAGCCGGCCAGGTCGGCGCCGTTGCCGCGGTTGGGTTTAAGTTTCCCCTTGCTTGCCTCATCCTCGTCGTCCTCTTCCTTCTCGCCTTTGTCCTCAACTTCACCCGGCTCGTCATTATTCTTCAAGCGCTGCTCCAGCTTAGCCGCCTCTTCATCAGTCAGTTCCTGGATTTCGGCCGGCTTGCAAACGTCGCTAGCCACACTTTCCCTTGCCTTTTCCAGAGCCACCTTCTCTCTCCGTCGCCGCTCGGCCTCTTCACGAGCTGCCTTCTTTGCGGCTGCTGCATCTGCGGCGGCCCTTTCGTGTTTTCGAAATGCCGTCATAACCATCTACCAAGTGAAGACAACTTTCAACAAGCTCTCACAATACGTCACCCTAAAATGCTGTAATTGCACAAAAACTTACATTTTCCGCTTGCCCGGGATTGCCACCACCGTAGAAGTCCGTCTTGCGCGCCAAAAAGCCGAAGATAACTTCTAGCAACTGCCGCAGCACAAAAGATCGTATTAAAATATTAAACTGAATGAATCTCGACCACGTCGAGTACGGTGCAACTCACCTCAGGCACTCCGCCTTCGCACTCCTGCGCCATCGACAGGAACATCCCATCGAACCGATCCTCTGCCGCCATGACAAAACAGGAGCTCCCTGTCAACCCCTTCTTTTCTTTTGGACTCGCTTCGCGTCTCAGATTCTCTTACTTCGTTTTTTCCCCCCGACACAAAACTGAGAGACTGGCAAGTTACTGTACACCCACTAAAAATCCATAAGATAGGAAGTATACGTGATCATCAGGAAATTCATCACAGAAACGTAGGCTCCAACATCCAGTGCGGCAAGGGCAGGGCAGAACTGTACAAGATTTTCTTCACTCTCACAACCTTACATCCAATCTTCCGCAACTTCTGATTTAGAAATGAAACGCAAATACGGAAGGAGAGAACTAAGAGGAAGTAAGAGGAGCGACAGAGAAAAAAAACGCAAGTAGAGATAACCAGAATTCGCTCAATGCTTTGTTTCATTGTCTCTGAAAAAAGTGGTCTGCTTTCCTCGCAATTTTTTGACGCAACGATATGCGTCCATGACGCGATCGCGTTCCTCTTCTAATTCTCTAGCCCTGGCCGCGACGACAACAGCCGACTGGCCTTTCAGGGATGCAGATTTGCTGGCAGAATGCCCGCTAACACTTGCTTCTTTTTTCATGCCACTGGCGGTGCAAAGTATCTTCTTGAGTAGCAAGTCCTTGCGGCCAGGCTGCGTACGGAAAAGAACACCAATAAGTCAAAACCCGGTTGAAATTCTACGAAGTCTTTACCCTGTTCGTCTTGTACTCGGCTGCCTTTCGCGGTCGGTGTTGCAACAATGGCGGCGCATCCACGACTTGCCCGAACACAAACATGTCCTTGCGAGGTGCATCCTCCTGAAGCTCCTCCTTTTCGCGCCCCCTGAACCCGAGACGCTTCAGTTTCTTACGCAATCGAAACGACTCGAGTCGCTTCCGACTCGAGCTCTGCGCTGTGGACGTTGACGGCTCCTCGGCGACGCGGACGGCCCGGCTAAACTTGACGCGGCTTCTGATTCCCGGGTCAGCGTAGGCGGCGTGCTTCATATCGACCAACTCCTGATCCACATCCGAGTAGAATTTCGAAAGCTTTCGGGGCTTGACTCGCACGTGTCCTTCGTCGCCCTGCCACACATCTACCCCGTACTTTTCTTCCAGCTTGCTTTGCTCCACGATTTCCTGCACGCAGAAAGAGATACAAGGAATTATTTAATCCCAGTACAGTACAGTATTTTAAGAGTCCTACCAATACGAGCAATACAAATTAAGATACTGAACTGCACAACAGTATATGGCATGCAACATATATGGTACACAGGACATGCCTTTGTCGCTTGATTAAGTCGCCTCATGAAGTTGACGTCCGTCTCGCCGCGACGTTGACGCTGTGCCAACAAAGGCTTCTCCGGTTTGTTCATGCCTGGCTGTACTGGCGCCGCAGCATCGGCAAATCGAGCGGTGTCTAGTCGATGCCGGTTCCGTTTCTTTCTGTTGCTCTTTGAAACTGTTGTGTTGCCAGCATTGTGATCCCCGCTCGCGGCGCCGGCATTCGCCTTCGTGTTAAACTGCATGACGAGCCGGTCAACTCGAGACACTTCCTGTTGGTCCGTTCCAGTCAGCTTGTGACGCCGGATCTGCTTTTTCCTGCAACCAAGGCAATCATCAAGACATTCCAAGGCGACTCATCCTCACTCCAATCCTCACTCACTCGGCCTTGCGCTGAGCTGCACGCAAGGGGTCGCGGATGACCCTATGCCGCTTTTTCATCGGCTTCTTAATTAGGCTCATGATCAGACAAAATCTCACCCACCTACGGTACAGTCATTCGAAAGGGAAGAAGTGACATAGTCAACGGGCAGCCCTTCCAGGTCGAAGATTAATAGTCAACCTTCGATAATTTCTCAAATATATTTTCCTCCACGCAACTGCCATAACCGCAACTGCTGTCAAGTCACCGATCGAATACTCGAGGAGTCCGCCTCTGGAATAATGGTTGACGTTTCAGCTGGAACTTGCGCCAAGCCTACGCCTTAATCGCCTCATCGACCGCTATATAAGATAATAAGAGGCAACCGCGATAATGAACAAAATCGATATACAGAGCTATGAGGGCGCGTGGACGATGCATGTACACAAAAAAAACGAATATAACTCAACAAACGGGAATTAAGCAAACTAGAGTGAAGTCGCGTAGCAATATCGATTTTTGGCGGAATTTCCAAGGGATTTTTAAATCGTCGCTACCAATGGGAACAAAAGCATATGTCGCCAGACCCTTTCGCGAACTACGTGGCACAGAGACCCGCGACAGAAAATCCCCCCGGAGAAGCGACCAACATGCGAGGGAGTGATTCATCACCAGTCAGTCCAGCGCACGGATTGAGATAATCACGGAGTCAAAAATATAGCCTCGACATGTTTTTCTTCTTTTCAAAGGATTCAAACTGTAAAGCTTGTACTGTGGAAGATAATCTTTACATCAGATTAGCTTCTAGCAAACTTTCGATCACGAGCTTCGTACGTACAAGTAGTTAATTGAAATCCGTAGGAGACACCTGCGAGGTCACAGCTCACAGGGTGAAAAGTTATACCGTTTCGGTAGGAGAAAATAAACTTACTAAATTCAGAAAAAAACCTTTACTCGGCAACGAACGTAATATACGACCTTAACAATACATTTTTTTACTTCACTCACAGAATGAAGCAAAGTTCAAATTATACGATTCCTCAGAGGAGTGGAGAATAGGAGAACTATAACCAAGATACACCGCTTCCTAGAAGTACAATCTAGTTCACGAATGATCAAGAAACTAACCTTCAACGAGGTGTGCAATGGCTGCAGGTGTCACGGTTCTAGAACGCTGTCCATCGTCATTAAGCGACATTGGGTCTTCTCCAAGGTCGCACAGTCGGCCCACGCTTGGATCCAGCGGCAGGGAGCCCAGAAACGCTACGCCCATTTCATCGCACATCTCCCGAGTTCCACCACTGAGCATTGCTGGGAAGATGTCGCTCTCATGCTACGACATCCGTTTCGACAATCAAGTAAGCAATTACAGTACGTCACTCGCACAAAAATACACGACTCACATTGCACGAAGGACAAACGAAACGTTTCATGTTCTCCACGACACCAAGGATCGGCAATTTCACTTTCTTGCAAAAGTTAATCTCTTTTCGAACATCCAACAGAGAAACTTCCTGAGGTGTCGTTACGATAACAGCACCCTTCGGCTGCCGATCATACGCGCAAAGAAAAAGTGGCAACCCCGTTGAAAAAATTATACAGTACTGCCTAAAGAAAGAAAAAAGTGTGACGGTAGCAACGTACGTTCGCCGGAAGCAGGAACTGAACAACTGACAGGTGCTCATCTGAAGTTCCCGGGGGAGTGTCTATCAGCAGGTAATCCGCCGGACCCCAATCTACGTCCCGCAGAAACTGCTTAATTAATCCTGCATAGACCAACAAACATTTCAAGTTGAATCCAGACAAAGAGCGAAGATTTCGAGAACAGCAGACTACCGTTTTTCTTCGGTCCTCGCCATACAACCGCATCGCTCAGATTTTCCAACAGGAATCCAATCGACATCACGCTGATGTTATCATCAACAGCCTGCAAAAATCGATCCACCAACAGTTCAGCAACGATTAAACGACCCCACGACTCACCACTGGGGACCAGCCCATTCCGCTCACATGCACCTATACATAAACAGCACAAGAAAGCGCCAGTGAATGCATGAAAACAATGACATCAGAGAGGGCTTCGGATGGGAAAGCGAACTTGCTCACCGACTCTCCCTCGACGCCCATCACCCTCGGCATGGATGGCCCACAAACGTCCACGTCCAGTACAGCTATCTAGGGATACAAAAGCACACGCTCATAAAAAAATCACAACCTCTCGAAATGTAGGTTGAGCAAAATAAATTTCGAAGTGGAGTGGTAGGCAAAACGAAATCATCCTGCACTGATCCGCTCAATGAAAATCGGTCATTTATTTCATATGCGTCATAAATTTCTTTAACCCACGACAGAGATCCAGATTTGTGTTGGCATTATGTAGTTCAAGTTTCATTTCCAGTTTATTATATGTGAGTATAACTTTCTCTCCGAAATTCCAACTTCCGGAAAACCAGACCGTCACTCAGATATTTGAAATTATTTCACTTCCCTTATTCTGCAGTATCAATAAGATCAAAAGCACTTTCTGCACCTCAGTTCGACAATGTACATTACAGTGATACAATACTCACGTGAGAAGTAGGATAGCGCTTCGCCAGCCCACGGGCTAGCATTGCAGTTACAGATGTTTTGCCCACACCTCCTTTTCCTGACATAACCATGATCTTGTTGGCGATAGGCAGCAATTTCTCCTTAATCGCAGCAATATCTGGAAGGGAAGAACGCAGAAAAGGATTAACCATTCTGACACTACGTTTGTACAGTAATGCGAAGTGATCATCTAACAATCGAACGTTTTACTGTAAAAACGAATAAAAAATTTTCTCCTTAATTAAAAAAAGGAGGAAGTTCATTCCGATCCCGATTTACGTGATTGAAACCTTTCGTTCCTGAATACTAATCTGAAGCCCAACTGACATTTATATTCAAGCAATTTAAAGTCAATACACGGTTTTTTCAATCAACGTTTCATCATCTTCTGGCCCATAAGGTGGACAAGAAAATAATGAAGTAATTTTCGAACAGTACCTCCAGATAAGTTGGACGTATGAAACTTCAAGAATGGGAAATTGAATCTCGTTCAGTTTTTCCTGGAAAGATGCGGCGGTCGTTGTTTCATCTGAATTGGGATGGCTAACAGGGGCGTTCGAATAGATGCCGCTTATAGATCCGATTCCTTCCAAAGGGATGGAAGGGTTTGTTCAAAAAAATTATAACCTAATTAAACAAATGGAGCACAGTCGCGCAGAAGTTAGCTTCTTAGGATCAAATTCTGATCGTTGAAATCAGAAAATGGATACATGCACAGCATCAAAAAATCTTAGTCTTGAATTTTCATGAATCTGCCATCTGTTTTTGAATTTGCACTCACATGATCAAGCGGCATCACTCTATTTGACGTATGAGAAGCAAATAAGAAGTCCTAGGAAAACTTGAACAGTAGAATGATATGGAGTATGCCAAGCTAAATTGGACATATTATCATGGATCAGGTCTCTAATAATGAATTCATACCATGCGAACAACACACTTCTAAGTGGCATATTTTCTGCAGTTTTCATTTCTTTCGAGTTTAAAATCGCGAATGAACAGGATTTCTGTAACCAATCTGGTACCCACAGATCGATTACCTAGTTTGTCAGTGGAGAAGTAACCCGCGCATCCGGTTTTTTTTTTTTTCAATGTTGTGGGATATGACAGCTTATATTTTTGGAACGCTTTTTCATCAATGAAGGGAACTGACCGGAATCGGGATTCATCTGCTCGCCCGAAGCACACACAGATTGATTTGGGCATCCTTGACACGCACTCACTTTTCCTGCAACTCCACTTCCTGTCCCGGGACAAGCTGAAAAAAGTGAATGAATAATTATCACCTAGATATAGGCACACGCGTCCAAAATCTAACTACTGCAGTACACAATTTCAATCTTACCAGCAGGCGCATCTTGCGGAACGTCCATTTAACGCGCAGAGATTCACTTCGCTCACGGAGACGTCAATTCCTAACGCATCTGCAGAACGGAAATTAATTCTGATTTACAAATTTAAACGTTGCAAGGAAGAGAATTAGAAAATGCGTACACGCGGTTGAATTTTACGGTAAAATTGTCCGTTTCGATGCTCGGAAAGCGTTCAGCAACCATGGAACTCCCAGTGAATCAATTGCGGAGCTGCCATCTTTTTTTATACACTTAAATCCTACATACGTTCCTCCGCCAACGTTTAAAAAAAAAAAAGAAACTAGCCACAGGATTATCCACATGCGCTTTTCAAAAGGCGCTGAAAGTTACATTAATGGACAAATCCTTTTCATGGCTTCAGCATTACATCCACCCGAACCAACTTTTTCTGATTCTCGTTCCAGACCTTCAGGACTGGTCCGATAACGTGCAGCAGAGCACGATCAAGACTGGTTAGCTCCATAAGTTCGGAACGTTCGTCGTACTTCGATATTCACCGAGCAAACTCACATGTTTTAACAGATCACATCGGCGCTTACATTATCTCTAAGACTGTAAAACGGAAGATCAAGTTCCGCATCAGGGAAGGAACATTTAAGGGCAGGGGATTCTCTGCTTGAGCGTGAACACCGTTCGTCAGTCAATCGGACATAAAAATAATCATGAAACAACTTCATGCATCCGCAATTCTCTTCCAACTTTAGAATCCCAGCCTGCGATGGGAAGAACCTAGATGATCCATTGCGTGGACGCTAATACGCAGATTTATTGGCGCTCGTCATACCAAGTCTTTGCAGGATTGCAGCATTGGAACAAGCACAAGCTTTTGGAGAAAACAAAACTAACACGAATAAGCGGCGATCCATCACTCACTCGTGCTCATTCGATTCTCCATTCAGCACGCTGAACAAAAGACAACCGAGCGTTTTCACACAACGCAACAGTACCGCGAGCTGGTAATTTTGGCTCGATCAGTATCTTCCCTTTCCTCATTCATTGAACTGCTCTGTCTTGCACGCCGAACGGAAGCCCAGGTAGCTTCAACCCTTCCCGAGCCTCAAAAAATGTGTATGACAGTGTAACTTCATTCACATACTCCATCTTCGGGTCATCCGCAAACTCAGGATCGATGTAGAAGAACACTGGCATATCCACCTGGGTCAAATGAAAAGAAATTATAGAGGGCAGGTCTCGTTCACGAGAATGAGCGGCGCAGACGGCATTACCTGCTCTCCCGGATTCAGGCGCTGCTCCTCGAAACAAAAACATTGGATCTTGTTGAAGTACTGACCAACTTCAAAGGGCACCACATTGTAAGTAGCAATACCATCGATCGGGCGGTCCGTGCGGTTTGTAGCGGTGTAAAAGGCGAGCGCCGTCTCTCCAGGCACAACCGTCACTTCTGCCTGTTGTGGCTGGAAACCCCAGGTGAGGCTTGCCGCAGTGTCTGCATTGAAGCGTACACGAATCTTCTTTTCCGGCCTCACACTCAATGCACCTAGGTCCGCCGTTTCCTGCTTCCCCAAGACAGTCCCACCATAGCTGTAGGCCTGCGCAACTCCAGCTTCCCGGTCAGTAAGCTCACGAACAATTTATTCAGCACTGTAATATGACAGACCCACCTGGCAGAAGAGGCGATACAGCGGCACGGCGGCATAGCTCAGAGAAAGCACGAGCATGCCCACGGCTGACAGAAACAATACTGTCGCTCTACGCCCGTCTTTCTTCTCCTGATGTGTCTTCGATTCCTGATTCCGAGGAAACTGCTCGTAGTGGCGACTCATTCCAAATTCACGTACCCAAGTCCCACTGACCACTCGCAATTGACTAATTTTGTGGTTCAAAACAATCAACCGGCGCACAACAGACCACGACATTTTTACCGGTTATCACGGGAGTTTTCACAGCCAACTGTCAGAGCTACACAAACGAGTAGAAAAAGGCACTTGTTCACGAGAGGTGACCCACACAGTGGCCATATCCAACCGTCCAAAAAACCGAACTCGGGATCACTGCAAAATTCGAGTTTTCACAGCCAACTGTCAGAGCTACACAAACGAGTAGAAAACGGCACTTGTTCACGAGAGGTGACCCACACAGTTGCCATATCCAACCGTCCAAAAAACCGAACTCGGGATCACTGCAAAATCCTGAATAAGGCGGTCATTCAAATCAGACAGTATTGTATCGGTAAAAATTACGGTATACGCATGAGGGAAGTGTGTCATTCAAAATTACATGTGAGCGACTTAAAAGTTTTTGACCGTTACTTGGAGTTGCTCGGAAAAGCTTTCTTATGTGGCCCAGCGCTACAAAATTAAAAAAAAATGTTCAGGAAACATGGCATGATTTGGATGTTTTTTCCGAGAATTACAGATATCCTGGTTCTTGATGATGAGGTCAGGCAGGAACCAAAGAATTATCCACCAGAGAATGATTTTAGCAGCCTCTGAGATGTACCAGCCTTATTATTCTACTTATTATACAGAAGCTGTGTATAGGTGTCACTGTATTCAGAGCGATTTATCCACTGAAAGGGAAAATTCTGTCCACATACAGTGCCCGTAAACTTTCATTTACGCTTATATTCAATTATTAATTCCACGCACTTCTTAAAAGACCGCATGAATTTTCGAAACTGACGAAGGTGTGGATAGAAATTTTGGTTTACCTGTCTTGTAAAGCGGGGTCCCGGTATAATTTAAAGCCAAAACCTTCGGGGTCCTCTTCATCGATGATCAACCAGAAGATGCGCAAACGCACTAGTCGAACTTTTTCAAAAAATCAATTAAAATACTTCATATCTTGTAAAGCGGGGTCCCGGTATAATTTAAAGCCAAAACCTTCGGGGTCCTCTTCATCGATGATCAACCAGAAGATGCGCAAACGCACTTGTCAAACTTGAAAAAAAATCAATTAAAATACTTCATAGTACTAGTTGTTAAGATTTTTTCAATAGATCATTCTTTTTACCCACCGGAGATTACAAAATGAAGATATTCCTCGTCGGAAATCGAAGCCTCGAAGTGATGTCGAGTTCAGAGGATAAGAAGATGCAACAAGATGTTGCGATCAACATCACTCAAGTGCAGTTACTAAAAAGTCAGAAATAGTCAAAGAAACAAAAACTGTAGACGATTAAAAAAAAACTGCAGGAAATTTCCATCAAAGAAACGCTCACTTCACATACATGTTTTAATTGCCGCACAGAATTTCGACATTCACGTCCATATAGAATTTCTGCCTCAAAGAACGATCACTAAACACTATGGAGACGTCATGAAAAAATTTACACTCGTGTCCTATCACTGAGAAACTGCTTGATCGAAGACGGAAAATTCACGTCGCAAATACAGCATTACATTGTACCATCACATCACTCATCGTATTCACACAAAATCATAGCTCCGAAAATGCAAAAAATAAAATTTAAAAAATCCCCAAGTTTTCTATGCGCAGAAAAATAGTCTCCCCGTATGTGCCGTTCTTGCGGCGGAAGAGGAAGAATGCTTCTAAACATATAAAAATAATGAAGAACAGTATTGCATAGCGCAGACCAGCTTCCAAAAAAATTAAAACGAATAAACGAAACGTGCGCTAACATCCTGACCATGAACATTTAAAAGCTACAGGTCCCCAGTTTATCGAACTCGCTTCCATCACAATGCTTTTTTTTCTAAATGGCTAAAGCGTTGCACATCATTTGCATCGATTCCTCGAGATCTGGACAATGGTCGAATGCTCATCGCCTACACAGGCCTCAGTCAAAACACATTACTTGTAGAATCCATATGATCTTGCCAAATATTTTTTGCGAACAAGACGGGATCGCTGCTTGGGAGCAGAAGCTCTGCATTGGCGGCTTTGATCAAAAAATCCCGATCACTCCTTGTCCTCGTATCGATGATTTTTCTTGCCAAGCACTTTCATCAATGACTTTGACATCAGATACGGCTTCTCAACGGACCCGTCATTTTTTTCACTGTCCTCCACTGAAATAAACACAAGATTGAAGAGTGAAACTTGATTCACAGCCCAAAATTTGCTTTCTGATTCGATGATGGATCACAAATTATTCTATACACCCACAATCACCTAAATTCCAACCGAATTTTCTTTAAACGAGAAAAATCTTGAAAATAAAAATAGCCTAACAAACGTACGAAACTTAAAAAAAAGTGATTTCTCTCACTAGCAGGCAGCTGTACGAAAGTACTTCAGAATATCACAGTACTTCATTTTTAATGATTTTTCTAAGCAACATTTGAAATAAGAAAAAAATTAACGGCTGAATGAGGGTGCCAAATTAAAATTCAACTCTGGAAACACCCACTGCCGAAGAGGGAAAAAACGCAACAAAAGAACCATGTTGATGAATAGAAAAATCGGCTAGATCTCACAATCGCTTCTCCAAATGCCAGTTAGGAAAGGCTTTCCAAAGATAAGGGCATTTTTTCCGCCGTCAGACAAAAATATGGCTAACTGCGCGTCTAAAAGCATAAAATAAAATTCATCGTCCTAGTTTAGTGGGATAAGTCCGGTACGAGAATATATTTCTCATGACCACGGCCTTTGTGAGCGCTGTTGAATATACAAGACTGGGTGATTAATATCAGTGACATTTTCATAAACTTACGAAAGCAAAGGAACATAGTGTCGATAGCCATTTCGTACACCGAGAAGAAGGAACTTGCGACAAAATAAGTTCCAATGGTGACGAAAATCACCGGGACTGCGTAGTAATTCGTTTCAGGTACATTAGTTGCCAAGAAGTCTATCGGCACTTTTCGAGAGAAAACAGCGAACGCTGCTAGTCCAACTGCTCCCACGACCACCATTTTTCCAATGAAGAGCAGGAAATCAGTAACCTGCGCAAAATGACGGTCGTTCATCACGAATTTCAATCACGCCAAGATTCGAACACGAAATATTTCTCACCTTGTCAAGAACAACGACTCTCGCCAAGTTTCTCATGAGCAAGAAAAACGCCGTTCTCGCAGCCGGACAAAAAGATTTCCCGTGAATGGCCGTGATAACATACGCGTTACGATTCACGAAGCGGAGGAATTTTTCCAAGCACCAAAAAAAGCATTTGCAGCAACACATGAGACATTTTGCAACGGCATTATCTTTGAATTCCTTCAACTTTCGGTCCATGTACTCCAGGATTAGGCGAATACCGCGGACTATTGCAATTATAAGCGATCCAAAGGCCACGGTTCCCAAATGATACCTGAGCAACAAGAAAATATTAAATTTAAAAAATCATCTCTCGCGAGTTTCAGAAGGTGATGCCCGTTGCGACGTGAATGCAGCTCGTGCAAAATAAACATAAATACGGGAATTATCAGCATAGCAGAAACTTTTTGAATATTTTCACGATTATTTCGCGCAAAACAAAAATACACCAACTGAATACATGTTTAATTCTGCACGCTCATAGACGATAAAGAAATGTGCAACAAGAATGGACATTTACGGTGCTGACACGTAGAATCAGATCAAATTTTCAGCGCTCATATCAATAAAATGTTGGGAATTTCAACTCAACCCGGGCAACAATAGCGAATTTTGAAATAAAAATAACATAAAACATTGGAAGTCTGGAGACTGAAATTTCATCGTCTGGAAACTGCAACTTCCGCTGCCATCTCTCTTAAAATTTTAAAAGGACTCCTATAATTCGTGGAAAAGCAATCTTCTGTGTAGCACGCTATTTGATTTTTTTCATAAAAAAAGCTCGTATCACTGATAATAAAAACTTGTCAACTTACCTGAAACCTCTCCCGAAGGAATGTAATAATGTGAGAGCAGGAACGCCTTTGGACTTGTCAACCGTCCAATACCAAGTTGCAAACGCTCCGGCCAAAACAAGCTCACCGAAGGCCGTGATGAAAAACGTGGTCCACAGGAAAGCAAATATGTTGTATATCTGCAGTTTCGATAGTCCATACTCGTCCTCATACGAGTAGAAAATGCATTGCGGCTTGTTTGTCAACGAATTCGGACAAGCACAGTTGAACGTTTTAGGAAGACAGGTGGAGTTCGTCTACGTACAAAAAGACACAATCAGTAATCTGATGTCGCTCTCGAGTCGAAGTAAAAAAAAAATCAACCATTTTTGGCAAAAGCAAAAACAGTTTGCCGAACGGGCATAATTTGAGAACTCGGGCCACAAGTCTCACTACGAACTCAGAACTTTTTGCCGCTGCTCAACAGTTGTGTTGTTCTAGACTCACCGAATAACCATTGCAATTTTGGTTGCAGTTGGGATCAGATGGATCGTCTAACCCAACGACTCGAAAGCTCGATTTTCCCACAGACGCCAAATAAACAGCTATGCCGAGGAAAAGCGCAAAGAGGATGATCTGAACCAAAAACGTAAAAGCTGGGTACAGAAGGGTCGCCGTCACAGCTGAAACTGCTCTATATAGTAGAAGAAAATAGGGAATAGGCTCGTGAGAAAAAGTTTAAAACTAATCAAACGCAAAATTCCATACTTCGAACCCTCTCGGATAAGTTCAACAGCTATCGCAATCCGACTTCGAAGGAAAATGAAGATCAACAGGGTGATCACCAAAAATATTCCAATGATAACAGCAAAAGTCAGCCAAGTGTCTCGCAAATGAAGATACACATCCAGCTGCAAAGTGAATCCAATGTCCGTCAAGGACGCAGAAGAACCAGGATGACTTTTCAGTTCTATATACTTGTCAATACTGAAATACAGCCCTGAAACCGGAAAGAAGTGATTCAACATCCGCGATAAATAAACAATCGCAAAAAATTTAGCCTAACGGCGATTGCGCAAGAACATGCAACACCTTAAATTTACCGACACACAATTATGACTCACCATAAGAAAATATGCCAAGTACGCCAAAGATTGATGCATAAACCATAACAGCGGCAACGAATCGCATCAAAACAATCCAAACAAACGCAACGGCCGCCCCGAAAAGCAAACCGATCAGGATTGCCCACCAGGTCGTCCGCAGGTCTTCAAAAATGCGTTGGCCGACCTAGATATAAAATAAAGTGTCAACGACGAAGTAAGTAAACGCGGAATAAAAGAAGCGAATACATGCTGAATAGAAAAAAAGTGGAAGTGGAAGGGTGAGCAACCTCTCGGATTTCTTCAATCAGCTTCAAGAAGCCGATGGCGTCCAGAAATGAATCAGGTTTCAGCCCAATATCAGCCAACCCAAGATTATCAAGGACATCTCCCAAAGATTGAAAGGTGAAGTCCGGTAAACAACGCCCACCAACTACCTCGTACGGATAGCGAAAACGAAACCATGTGAAGTCGAGAAAGGAAAAAAACCCAGTTGTTTGGTGACGTGCATAGAGACATGAAACAAATCGTGCATAAAAAAGAGAAATGGATGAAAAAAAGGTGAGAGTTGAAAGGCAACGGCCAGTTTCAACGAAGACTGAGCATTCAGATTTCAGAAATCACGTGCGAGATAATATCAATCCGTCTTTAAAACCACCTGTTGATATCTGATGAGCTTCCCCATGTTCTTGGAACCTTTCTTGACGTCGTTCATACTAATATTGGTCGCAGATTCGTCACCCATCGTTTCATCGGTTTTGTTGCTTTTAAGCACGGGTACACACCTATTTAAAACTGCACAAAACCAGAGAGGAGGGTGGCATTAAAAAGCCCGAGAAATTTGTTCCTCCTTTATCGATCGGTTGTCAAAACCACAGCAGAAAGCCTCACTTTTTTCAACAAAACTACAATCATAAAAAATACAATACTTTTTAACGAATAGATCTCTTGGTAAAAATCTCAATCTCGTCCGAAACGTTTTCAACGTCATTGATCTTGTATATGATTATTTTTGAATTCCAAAAGTTGGATACAATCAACAGAAGAAAAAAATCCGGTTGTGTCTACCCACCTATTCTTATACTGCTGCTATTTACTGTTCTTTCTCTTCAACGAGGTCATTAAACAAATCAACACGGAAATTTCATTTTTCTGCAGGCCCACATCTTAAATCTCCAGCTGAAGGCAAACTTCGTAAAAATTAGCAAGAAAATTTCTTTTCATTGACATATTTGACAATATAGCAGATTTTCTCGGGAGAAAAACATGAGTCTGGACAAATTGGTTATTTGAATGCCATTTCTTCCATTTTCAATGAAACAAAAACAAACCTCCTTCAATCACGCGAACGTTAAAAAAAAAAATCGCATTTTTCATGACAAAATTTCGTAAGAGCGCAAAAATGTTTGGAAATTTTTAAATTTTGACCACATTTAAGTTTAATTTTACAGTCAAATTGATAACCCATTATGGCCATTAATAACGAAGAGATTGTACAGGTTTTCGGAAGAAAAAAATCAATTTACTGAAACTTCGTGTTTTAGGATTGTAGATGTAACTGCTTCAATGCGTTACCGCATTAACGTTTTATGCAGAAAATTATATGTTTACTCAGCGGTTTTTTATTCCCCGAAGTGTCAAGCTTCCCTTCACAGCAAAACTTCCTGACCAATATGTAGTGTTTCCAGCTCACACGTTTTCTAATCCGAAAAATTCATTACGCATCCTCGTTTTCAAACTATCCACGAATGCTATTAAATCTCCAATACCGAACATAAAATGCCAACTTGAGAGTTGAACGCTTACAATGGACGTGTTCACGACCATTCTGGAGCTGCATCAAGAACACGTCATTTATCATTTTCGATGTGCGTTTAGCTAAGGATCCAAACCACTAATAAAAATTTTTCGTTACGTCTTGAATAATACAGGTGGACTCTACAAAGAAATCCAAGGGACCAGAAGAAAATTCGTCATAGAGAACCCCAATAAAATGAGGAGAGAACCCTATGGGACCCAAAAAAAAAATCGTTACAGTATATGTACAGAGAAAATCGTTGCAGAGAGAGTCCACCTATAGTATTGCTTGCATTCAAAAGACGCCCCACGTCTTCAAAAACCATAGTTTGAAAAACCTAGATCCCAGTTGAAAGTAACTCCACTCGTCTCGCTAAGAACATTCGGGCACACAGAAACAAACGGCAGATCCTTACCATGTATGCTTTGTAGATAATACGCTGCACAATTGTCCCTGAGAACCTCCGACGTTGAATTCGCTGGATTGACTCCGGGAATGCAAATGAGGTCATCTTTCTGATTCGCGTAGTCCGAAATGAAAATGTTTTTTTGCGGACACTGCTCAACACAAACTTGCGGGGTCGGACATCCAGTTACCAGCACGCTGGGCTTGGCACATTCAGTCAAGTCAAAAAAGAAAAGGTACGGTTTACTCTTGACATCTTCATCCTTTCCGCATATCATGCCCCGAGAGTCTGTCGGCATGACTAAACTGTCCGGGTTTCCATGCTTCAAGGCTAAAAAAAAGAGGAAAACGCAACCAGAAAATGTAAATATCACTTTTATTTTCGATTTTACCTACCTATAAAACCGACTGCAACCCATCCTCCCAGGAAGCACACAAAAAGCAACAGGCATAGAATGTCTGTGCAGGATCGTGACTTCTTCGGGTATGCAACATCGACTTCAACTTGCAAAACTGAAAAAAACGTTAATATTCCAGGTCATCTACAGAATGAAATGAAAATGGAAAAAATTGATATCACGTTGAACACAGTCATTAGAACAATCGAGCACACGATACCTTTAGAACTTTGAGAGCAACGACAGTCAATTTTGAATTACATTCTATCCATTTTATAAAAAAGAAAAAATCATTGGCACGCTTACTTTTGGGTTCTGTGATGTCTCCAACCGCTGACGTCTTGGTCATGATAAACAAAACCAAACAAACAAGAAATCAATCTGAAATAATAAAAAAAATCCATTAGCAGCGAAAGAGGTTATTTCAAAATAATGACAGAATTCAAAATAATTTTTACACTCGGATACACACATATCACTTCAGAACAGACACAAAGGAAGATGCTGCTCAATCTCGTTATTGGAACCAAAGGACAATCTCGTTTTCAAGATGAACGGGGAGACATAAAAGTCCAACGTCCAACGAACGCCCGCTTCCGGAGAAAAACATGACTCAACTTCTGATACAGTTCCTTCCCAAAATTTTTGTAGGGGGTTCTGTCGTTTGAATACTATACTGAGTTTGACTTCTTGAACACGTCTCCTTATTCGAGTCTAATCCTGGATTACGCGAAACCTTCGCATTCTTAGAAATAAATTTCCAAAGCTGAACTAATCCCAAAATCTAGGAAGAAGTATCCACGATGCTGACGAACAGATATAAGCAGTCATATCTCTGATGACCAATTCACAGGATGACGTAAGTAGTTCATTCATGCAACTCAAACAAATACACATAGAAATTATTTAGTCGATGAATAGCGAGCACTGAGGAAACCGGTTGCAAACCCCAAATCAAGACTAGGCATCACACGAAAAATCCCATTCGTAGAATTTAGACATGATCCGTCAGGCCATCTTTTTGGAAAAAATTAACGGATATGCACAGTAAGGCTGGTCCTTCTCAAGAAAAATGAACCGACAAATCTTCAGGAAAGAAAAGCAAAAATTTGAGTTACACCACGCAAGATCATTGTGGGGTTCAAAAATGCCCGTCCTTAGCAAAAACCTCGCAAAAAATCAAAATCGAAGGACTCAGATCAAAACATGACTGCATTTTCCAATTCTCATTCTCAAGTGAACTTCTTTACATTACTCTGCACTACGGATATACACCAACCCGATGGAATACCGTGTATCACATCTTCTTGCGCGACTTAAAAATTCGAGATCCTCCTTAATGCTGATTTACGCTTCCAAAGGCCAAGATTTCTCCGACTCATGAAATACATGTTCAGTAGTTCGACCAGGTGTAAAATGGGCCTCCATGAGTCCACCCAAACCACAGAATGGATGAACAAATAGTTATACTAAAAGTGACACGTTGAATAATTAAGCAGTACTGCACATCGCAATTTTTGAACAAAAAATTAATGCCTGCATTCCACGCGCTGAACTGCAACCCGCATAACAAAATTCGATCAACTGCCAAACGCTCGTGGGAAATTCCTGATACCAAAAAATATCACAAGCAGATCTCGCAAATGAACTGATTCTTCCCACTCCAGCCAACTGATATGGAAATGGATGAGGGAAGCACGCAGCAAAAAGGGCTATGACGCAGATATGCACCAACGTGAGCAACTTCAAGAAGAAAATAACTGAATTACCGAGAGCAAAAGAATTTGCTCATCACACAGCGATGAGATTTGTGCAACATTCGCCTAGAAGTTAGCGCAAGAATTTAACCGTTTAAAAGCTCTCAGAACACATGCCACAAAAGGAATCGATTTGGAAAAGAGAACAAACCCAGGTGAAATCATTACCTGCGCATCGGACGATCTACAATACTGTAGTTTCGTCACGAGGATGAAGCAGGCAAAAAAAAAGTCCTCAATCAATTATCTAAAGGGTTTATGGCAATTGTGTTTTACTCTTTCCGTGCTCAATACAATTTTCAAGCACAAAGGCCTCTTTCGAGGTTTCGAGAACTTTTCGGAATATATAATTTAGAATTTTCTGACATCGAGAGAATAATTAGCTCGCAAAAAATTAAATTTCTTCAGGATCGAGCGCAATTTTACCATAAATTTCTTACCCTTTCACTAAAATTTCCACTGAAGTACTGACAAAACCTCGTGTGTTTAAAAATCTACGAAATGAAATCCTTTCGCTTTCCCTCTACGCAATTTTCATCGACTGTAAACTAGAAATGACGTTCACAGACAAGTACGCCACGGTCTTGAACAAGGTTCAGGAAACGTTTTCAATCGCAAGTATACTTTTAAATCGGTCTCGGAGAATGAAGTTCCTGTATTGTGGTACTGATTTCAGGAACATGTTTTTTGGGAGGCGGAGTGCAGCTCAAAATGCCTCGAAAGGGAATAGCGCGATGAGACAGTTGATGCTTGATCGAGAATCCTTCGGAACCTTCCAAATGACTCAGAACAAGGATCACCTGACGATGCAATGGTGGCACAGTATCTTCTGTTTTCACGTCACCTCGACTGGAGACAACATTGAAGCTTTGAGAGCAATCACAGCACACGTGCATGTAACGATCGTTGCACCTATTCTCCACCATCACGATCAGTCCGGACCAGTCTTTGGTGAGATAATAAATTGTCATTCCATCCCTTCCCTGCAAAAGTAAATGGAATTTTATCATGAGCATACTGCTTATAGGCACGTCGCCAAATTAGTCAACAAACCTTTTCCTTCAACTTACATTAATTATTTCCATCGAAAACTATTTTATTTTTACATCTGAACATTGCTTGCCTTCATCAATCAGTCTCTCCTGAGAAGAAATTCGAAACAGTTCGAGTCATTATTTCATTAAGCAAGGCTTTTTGAAGAATCCTCAATTTCGTTGAACTGGATGGCGTTGGGGATATGATATAAGAATTAACCGCATGAGATAGAATTTGAATTTCGATTAATCGAACTTCCCTATACCGAATCTTTTTCAAGACCCTTTCTGAATTTCCCTAGAAACATGCATTAAAAGCCTACCTAACTCGAAAGCTTTCCTCCTCAAATTTTCATAACTCGAATTTTTCGTAGGCCTTTCGGCTATTATTTTATTTTCACGAGAAAGAGAAAAGCAATAAAAATGTAACTTCATGCGTTTTGAAAAAAAATTGAAGGCTAATTGGGCAAATGAACCCTTGCCTCCAACTTCAGCATCCTGTCAACTCATTAAAGAAGCAATTTGAGGCCTAGAATAGCACCAATTACAAATTATACAATTTTTTCTTCTTTCCCCCGACAAAAATACTTGCATCCCTAAATCGATTTTTTCTGCTGGTCTTTTCACGTTCAACTTGAAGAGGTTCGACTCAACATGTATTTGAGAGCTGACTCAGACATTCCGTTAAGACATCCCAAGTTTTCCTCAACTTTCAAGCCCACCTAGGATAAAAAAAAAAAGCATACAAAAACTGACGGACACAAAATCGTGCGACTCTTGTGAAAGTATCGATAATATCTGAATTTTGAAGTCAATAACGCTCAGTAAATTTTTTACGTTAAAAGGATTCCACACGGCAGAAATGAAATTTAAAAAATTGTATCAGTTCGAGCTACAATAAAATAACATCCACTTCAATACTCGTAACTTGACAAGAGTCCAGTGATGATCTCTCAGCTGTTTGTTATACATGTACATATTTTGGACACAAAAAAAAACAAACACGTCACAGGTGTGCCGCAATAAGCAAGAAGGGCCCATTGCTCTAATTGCACAAGATGGTAATACCTAATTTACGCGGACTGAGAGAGCTAAAAATCTCACATAAATAAGTCGTCATCTTTATTGTCGACCTCGAAAATTCTAACGGATGATCGAATTACGATTGCACAACAGAATTTTGGAAACGTAATAGTTTTCTGTCGCTTACGCTTCAGATATGATTTCTAATCGAGAAAAGTATCATATACTGTTCAGAAGATAAACACCAAGAATGCAGCGGATGCGAACAGATAAGAAATGAGTAACCATGTAGTTCATACGTCATTTGAAATAGTGAACTGCGGGATATTCTCTTCAAAAAAAAAACGCTGAATTTAATCGACTGAAGTATAAAAACCAATCTTTGATCCAACAAAAAATGAGGGTTTCAACAAAATTTGAAGAAAAAAAAATCTTGATCCACTTACCGTAGGAAGACTTCCGTCACTCACGAGATGAACAAAACTCCACTAGGCTAACACAAATTCAGTGAAAAAACTACATTACTTGAAAAAATTCCTCAGAATTAAGCTCGATGTACTGTACATTGCATATTTCCCCCAACAAAAACTTCGCAGTAAAAAAATATACAGTATACTGTACTGTATATACATTTTCACATACCGAACACAATAGCTCACCTCGTATCGCTGTGCCCTGGCAACACAAAGAGATATAAGGACATCGGCATGATAGAACGGAGGTGCCCGTGTCTGCTCAACGAGCAAGCTCTTCATACTATGGATTGCTAGTACATACGCAGGGTATTCCTTTTCTTGGGACGAGCATCCTTAAAAATAAATAAATAAAATGATGATAAAAAGTAGGTCAACTTCTTCCTGCCTGATCCCTGCTTCAATATTAACGCTACTGCATCGTCTCGCTCGTGGAACTGTGAGCGCGAAGAATAAATAAAATAACGGAAAGAAAAATTGAGAAAAACCAAGGGAAGTAACGGCTCGTCAAAAAAGACATTTACATTAGAATAACACGAGCCGGGGTCGACTGATTCTCAAACGAAAGAGCACAGGATCACCCTCACAAAAACCACGCGCCGATTTACATTACAGCGAAGGGGATCAAGAGTTCAGAAGCGATCCTTTGCGTAGGGTCGTCGTTAGAAGGAAATACTAAAATCTTAAAACTTAGGAAAAACTACACTGTTCTTGCCGGAGAGCCCTTATTAAGGCTGAAAAGATCGAAGACTTTGGGGTAAGGTGAATGAAACTTTTTTTTGCACCTAAACAAGTAGGTAAGAACATTTCAAACTTCGAAAACGCTTGAACGGCGGGATTTCCAACACAAAACAGCAGGAACAGCCAACCCAACCTGGGGATTCTTTCTCAGCGCGTCCACTTTTTTTTCAAGATTTACGGAAACTAAAGGGATGACACGGAAGGACATTCAGCATTTCTTTTGGGCGACAGCAAGATAATTGTGTGAAAACCTTCGGAGTTATCTCGAAGTGAAGGATAATTTTTTACAAATTCTTGTGGCACCCTAATTCTTTTTGGAATTTGGTGATACGTCGCGAAGAAGCTGACGTATTTCGCAGTTAACCCAAGACATTGGCAAATTTCCAAGACAACAATTTCTGAAAATCTGTATTACTGGATTCTATAAGAGGGGATTTTTTCAATACAGCGCTATACATTTCTCTCGCTTGCCTCAACAGCCATGTTTAATCCACAACACTCAATAAATCCTCACCAGATGAATTGAAGTGGTTGAACGCAACGGGGGCGATCACGTATACTCCTGGCCCGACGAAGATATTTGTACCAACAGCTAACTGCACCTGACGTCGACTTCTTCCAACAAGCTTACCAATTCTTGAAGAATATCTGGGCCCATTTGAGCTTTCCAAAATCAGTGAGCAAATATCAAGCAGCTTCCTCGCAGATTTTGACGAATTCCTATAACAGAGGCACAGAAAGAACATTTAAATGAAGTCCCCCCGAAGCAAGGCAAAAACCCGGTAAAACGACTGCAAAACAAGGGTGGGAAGCAAAAGCCCAATACTCTAAGCATCACGTACTCCAAAATTACTCATGGCTCACACGATGAACAAAACTTAATCGTAACAAAAAACCAATTTGACGCGTGGGAAGGCTTGTCTCACATGAGCAAAGTCAAAAAGCCAGAAAGAAGAATGTTTCCAATACTCTCAAAGCAGTTCAAAGTTTTCGGGATGTCAGTTCAACAATGTTTAGCAAGAAAGTTTACCTCTGCCCAGCTTGAAATAACGTGATGTCGATTTCAGTAGATTCCACAACAGTCACCACGGCACAAGTCAGGTAATCGCAGCTGACGCTTCGCGAAGGCAAATGGCCTTCCAACCGAACTTCCTTCCAGGCAGGTTTCACCTTGCAAACGTCTACGGAATCAAAGTACCTGGAGAATTTTAAAAGAGAAGGATAATCAATTTCGACATCTGTACAGTAATTTCTACATGCGCACTGTTCACCGCATTTCACCCAAAACTGAACATTCTTTTGTTTGTGACGAACTGAACATAGTACAGTATATCATAGTAAAAATAGCGCACTGCATTTTTAACGTACAATATGGGTTACTAGTTCAGGTTATCAATACAGATTGACTCTCTACAATGATTTCTCTGCATAACACACTTTCTTTTGGTCCTATACGGGTTCTCTACCATCTCAAAGGAATTCTCTGATAGGAAAATTCTCACTAAACCAAATTATTTCGGTTTGATCGAATTTCTTTGCAGAAAGAGGGAGTCCATCTGTACGGCCCCTTTCCGTTTTCGCGCCCTATTCTTCTGGAAAACCTATCGAGAGATACAGTACACTGTTTTCATACTTGTCCATTCGTGCTGGAAATGAGCAAGACGACACTTCAAGAGAGCGTTTTTCATTGAATAATCCCAGCATCAATTTTGTGGGCTTTCTTCGGTAACCCAAGGTTTAGAAAGAAGAAGAATTAATTTCACGCTGACGAGAAACGAACACAGGTGAGATATCGAGCAAGTCATTCAAGTAAAACTCACTTCATCACGTCGTCAAACGGAATCCAAAAGACACCATCAGAAGCCACATGCGGCAAAAGCTGAGTCCGCAATTTCGGGGTCCATCCAGACCATGAGTCAGAATACGCCCCTTTCCAACTGAATCGTCCCCAGGGATTCCGCATCTTCACCAACCTCGCACTATCGACGTTTTTCACATCCAAAATGCTGTAGGCATGTCGTGGAGTCAAACCCATCCTTTCAAATTCTTTCGGGTCCACAGTCATATTTCCACTCCCGCACGAAGCCCCCATTAGAAAGCCGGCTTCCCGACAAGAGACTAGCTGTGCCCAGATAACGTTAGGATCAATAATTTCTTCATCGTTTTCCCCCGAACACTGAATAACAGCACTCGACGAACCATAACTTTGATTCCTTTTTTGAAGAGGGATGGATTCACACGGTGCCCCTGTAAGAGTAGAAAGTCCTTCGAGGGCTCTTCCGGAAATCAACGCTTCATAGCAGCCGTGCGCCTTTGCCACGGCTTTCTCAATCAGAGGTACCCATAATTGTCGACGCTTGGCTTGTGAATAGACTAGTTGACCGTACTTGTTGCAGGGCAGGAGATCATCCACTAGAATCGTCGTCCATTTCCCACTGATACATAAACGAATTTGATAAGCGCCTTCCTGGCAGTACTCATCGGTGACAAGAACGTGACGGATGAGATCTTCTTTTTCAGCGAGTACAGCCAGGGCGCTAAGAAGCCAGCAATTCCCCAAGATGCCCTGGGAAATGTCTGACGGGAGTGGAGATCGAAACACGGTCCACGACAAACGCTCAAATCCAGATTCTGATCGAATTTCGGACGGACGAAGCCATTGTGTCACGGTGTTCAACTTTTTCGATGCCTCGCCTTGGTAGAAGAGCGATTTCGGTGCAGGCGGAAATGATGGATCCACAAATGCGCATTTGTACTGCAAAGACGAAGCGGAGCACATGTTTGACTGAGATGGAAACATTCACGTACGACTACTGTCGCAGTAGAACAGAGATAAATAATCGAGGTCTACTTTGAAATCTCGTTCGAACTTTAAAACCGCAGAGAAACATCTATCAACGACTGGAAATTCACAAAATTCGACAACTGAGTACTTAAAAAATGAGATAGGTGATCTTCACGTGTACAGGAACGAGGCATTTAATTATTTATTTTTCCAACAAACGAAAAATACTGGCAAGAGTCTAGAGATGTAACGCTGAGAAAATTCATTTTGAGCGTCTTCCTATTGAAATTAGGATGTTGTTGAAGGAACAACATCTTAAAAATGTTTTCTTATTCTACCCAGAATGATGAAATTTCACAATTTCCTCAAGCCATTCGACAAGTATCACAAGACGAAGAAGACCCGGATACTCACACGCCTGCTGAACGCGACAATATCTGTCCATTGCTTCCTACATTCCTTCTCTTGAACAGAACGGAGATCGTCGATAGACATAAACTTCAATTTCAACGTTTCACCAGAAAAAGGGCGAGATGACCGGGAACCTCTAAAACTTTTACACATATCACAGGCTGATTTCGACTCGTTGTTTCGGTATGTGCAAGCAGCACAAGCCCAGGCGGAATCCGGAGATATCAGCTGGCCACTTAGAGCTTCGTTGTTCCGACGATGTTGACAAGCACGGCATTTCGTGGCACTTTTCGCGTTCACCAACGTGCAATAAGCACACACCCAGGAATCAATCGCTCCGAAACGCGGTTTTGAACAAACGTTACACACCAATGAAGACGCATGATTCTTGCATGTACATGAGTCACAGAACCAATGCTTGTCGCGTAGACCCGAAACTTCATTTGTCTTAGGCTGTTCCACGGATACGATCAATTCTGGGACGGACGAAGAGCTGACTGATCGTATTGTAGCTCTACTTTCACGTTGTAGTCTACCTTCCACGAATCTTTTCAGAGATGCTCCAATCCCACCACTTTCAGAAACCGATTTGCCTGCTAGGAAAAAAACAATGAATGAATAACTGAATAAGTGAATCGAGAACACCAAAACTTCGACTCCCCCTTTGTCGATGGACTGCCCCCTTACGATTGACCTCTCATACACTGTTGATTACTGTATTAGCGTAACCCCATCCCTACATCATCAATCGAGAAAGATTTACTCCTTTTCCCTGTTAAGAATGAAACTCGGGGCTTGGATGTGGTTGTTTTTCCTCCGTAGCAAATACAGGACAAATTTTGAATCAAGCAATCGATGCAATGTAATTTGAAACGATCACCCTGTAATCAGTCAGCTAAAAACTTGAGCGATGGAACTGGCGACTTTTCAATTCACGAAGCACTATATCAACTTTTAAAAATTTCGAGATAACTTCGGCTAAGGTGAATTCGACGTACCTTAAGCAGAATTTGATTTCAGTACGCAAACTATACACTACATATTTACCCATGCAACGCAGCTATTTTACGAAATTTCGAGGAACAAGGGCAGCAATAGAAACTAAACGTTAACTCTGACGGTCCGAATCTCCCAAGAATTCCTTGAAAAGGGAAATTTACGGAACCGATAAAACTGTGAGATTGTTCTACACTATCTACAGGATTCAGAATATTGCGTTTCAAAATAATCAAGACTCCAATAAATCGCTCCAACACGAAGCAAAACCATACTGTTTTTAAATTATCCGGAGTTCAAATCTAAATTTTCCTCAACAATCTGAAGCAGCGTAAGGCATACATAGACGGTAGAATTCCAGCAATCCCTCATAAGGTCGATTCACATAACTGAAAGATGGACCCACCACTTTTTCCCAACTTCACGATTCACTTACTTTCTTCGACGCGGGGACTACAGCAAGCGTCACATTTCGACACAGCTTCTTTATTTTCCAACGTGCATTGTGGGCAGGTCCACGCTTTCGACTGCAAACAATCTGCGCTATTCACAGAAACTGCGTTCATAATATATCTCACGATCGTGGAACGTCTAAAAAAAGACAATCAAGCAATGAACTTCAGCCAAACGAACAAGTCATAGGGAAGTAAAATGACATAGTCAATATATCCCGGATACATTTCCTCCGTGCAACAAATGGAACACGTGCAACACGTTGAACGTCTTGCATGAAGAATACATTTGTCCGACAATCTCGAATGAGAAGTAAACATCACGATTGGAACTTTTACGAACGATTCAACAACAATAATGAGTGGCTTCGGCTCCCAAGGAACAAATGCATTTCAAAGAAAAGAGACATCTACCCTAACCCACTTAACAGTAGTGAAGCCTTCAATGACTAGAGGATGTTTTAAATTGAAGGAAAAAAATAACAAGTTAATCATGAGAAAAAAAAGGGGCTGAATCACTGATAAATTTCACTTAATCAGAGACCTTATTGGGGCGCTAAGCGACAAACAAATCCGATCAGTTTGTGAACGAACTGGCGAATAACCGCAGGACACGCCGCCTTTCCAACCAATAGCTCCAAACTTAAGCGAAGTTCGTGAAAAATAGTTCTGGAATAAGGATTCCTCTCTGATGAGTATCGCTGTCCGAGGAAGCGATAGAACAAAAACGGAGTGACGAGTGTAGCCGCACCTCTGAAAGCATACGTCATACTTCAGTACACATCGTCAACAGAATAATCTCATGTCAAGCTCACCTGAAGGTCAACATAACAACCATGGGCATGAGCAGTATTTCGGAGAAGGCCACCAAACGCAAAATATTGGCAGACTGCAATTCAACCAAGGAAATCATCATTCTTGCCGGCCAAATCGAGTTTGCTCCGATGCACTGAAGTTAAGCATACAAAAAAGGCATGAGAAACATTAAATGAAGATGATTACGTATAAATACAATCAATAGGTCACAATAATATTCCTCGAACAGTGCAAAAAATACTCACGTCCAGCAGCTCCAATGAATAGCTAGCAAAATGCGACACGGCGAAGAGGAACACGGGTAGAGTGACCACTGAAAATACATCATTAAGATAATCTCCGGATACCGGCACGGGCAACTTATACTCACAGGTGAGGGGGGCACAGAAGATAAAAATCAGCGAATAACACAAATAATGAAAAGAATCCTCCTTCACAACATCGATGAAGTATCCACGGTCGAACCTGAAGTTCGGAACCCTTTGGTGCAGTCGTAATGCCGAAGTAGCCGCATTCGCCATCAGTATCTTATAATAGAGACTGAACTGCGAACTGAAAAAAGAAAGTCAAAATGTAAACCAGACATCCCGTCATAAATTAGCGTCGCTTCTCACCCCCACAGAGGTATGAAGAACCCAAGCGTGAGGACGACGGTGACCAACCGAATAACCCATAAGGCAAAGGCTATCCGTTTGTTGGAGATTTGACTGATAAGGACGTGGACTCCGGTTTCTCGTTGACGCGCTTGCGCATTTTGTTCAGGCATACTCACGACAACTCCGACGGATTTTTCTCCAAATAAATCTGAGCATAACACGAAAATGAACTTCTACGACTCAAACATACACCAGAAAACTGCAGCAGCACTTCAAAGCGCAGCCTCTCAGCCAATCGTAAATTAAACGGTCCGCAGCATCGTCACAAGATCTTCACAAATATCAATCCGTTCCGGAAGAACCTTCTTCAGGAACGGCAAACCGCACGTCCCACGCTCCTGCCACTTCGTGACCATGCCTCACGAGCCACACTGGATGTTCGCAGAAGCGACGTCTATGATTAGTTATATGAACCACACAATGCCACCACGTTATTGTAGAGACATCTACGTCCATATTCTTATTCATGAATACAGAATAACGCGTCGTCAGTGAAGAGTTCACTTCAACCTGCTTGATATTTTTAAATCCTGTACAGAGGAAGTTTATTTTTTACTGTACTGTACAATGCTGCTGTACATCATTGGCACATCAACGCACAGCAGTAAATGAATAAACTCAATACTGTACAGTATTATAAACTCAAATTCCTTTAATGATCGATTTGAAGTCCGTCTTTTTAAAATTTCACCGTTCTCAGTAGATGGGCACAATATCTGACATAAATTTGAAAAAGCAGTTGCAGATTTATGAGAAATCCGGCATAAGATTGTGACTCCTTCCTTCCATAATTTCCAATAACGGAGGAACATTACCTGAAAAAACTTACACGACCTCCGCTTTTTAATTAATTGCGATTCATTGTCAAACGCTGCTTCAATCTTCTGCACATGCTTTTACACCAGAAAATCCGGGAAAAATCGTCCATGCAAATCACAAATAGACGCGGAAAAATTCAATGAAACACAAGCAAGGCTTAAAAGTCACCCAGTTTTACTTCGATATCACAGCCAAATATAAAAGCAACCCAGAAAGATGTTAAATGGGGTTGCAATGAACAAGCTCCAGAAAATCGATCGGATCAGTATCCTCTGCGTAGGATTCGGCCTCAACCGCCCGATCTTCGATCAGTTCACCGAAAAATACAAAAACATTTCCGTCAAATTTCATGAACGTCGGTCCCCAACAATAAACTCTTCTAATAATACACATTCACGTCGAAAAACGCAGAAAACGAAGTACGAAATCCCATCGACGAGTCAAGCAAAGTTTCATGGCATCAACACAAGCCAAAAGCAGAAACAACAAAGCTTTTCCAATCCTGTGCGTATTCCGTCAAAAAGTCCCGCCGTAAGACAATCAGCAACTAATTCACACAAAATATCATCGACACATACAGCGATTTTTTTTTCCGGTGGTTCAAGTTCAACTGGTCATTTGTCCTCTTCCGCATTATTACCTCAACTGCATTCAGCTCACAATTTTCCCATTCTTAACGCAAAAGCAAGGCTTTTGATCGACAATACGGCACGGAAGATCCCGTAACATCTTGCGCACTTGAGCAACAATTCCCACCTTCGTCGACTCGTACAAATTGATTTTTTCGCAAACATAAAACATACCTTCTCCGAATGAACATAGTCAACAAATGTATTGTGATTGAAAATCTTCGAATCTTTTACCGACGGCCGATTTAATGGAAGGTTCAAGATTTAAACTTTTGACGCAGTCCTGATACTAATACAAACTCGTGAGTCACGACCAACCCTTTTTGGAATAAGAACATATGAAATTCGAAGAATTTAAAAGAGAACTTTAGGTATTAACAAGAAATTTCAGCGAATTTGGAACAACCAAATGGGACGCAAATCACGGCAAAACAGATTTTTCTCGCATATAGGGACAGATTTCACGGTCGGGTTATACACGTATATAATCCTCAGAAGGAGCTGGATCTTCCAGATTTTAAAATTGAACTTCCTTGAAATGCATGCTCAAAATGTATTGCTTTCATTTGAATAATAGCAATATTCTCTCTCATTACGTTCAAAGGTATAAATCTTGAAGAACCTCTGCGGATGGAATACTGCAATAGACTCTTTCACGTGAAATACAGTATTCAGACGACCAAAATTATGAACTCATTTCAACCATACTTCTGCAGCAGAAGAGCTGCTTATAAATCAACAAGAGGTAAAATTATACCAATGGAGAATATTGTTCCGTGGATTTATTTTGTCGAGAGTCACGACCGATACGACAATTTAGAACGAAGAGGTCAGTATTACTTCATATTCCATTTGGTCACACACACACACTGTGGTCAATTGCCTATTTTAACAGTTCAATTTTCCATGAGCCCATCTCTACTACTATTATCCAAGAACATGCTTATTAGTTTCAATAATCACCTTAATGAAAGCCTCGCTCAGTTCAATGTTGAATTCTCTTCGCGGTTATCGATTCACCAAAATTCGAAGAGTACTATAAACGAACGTTGTCGACATATCGTCACACATCACAAGAGATCTTCACTTTTTTTCAAAAGCAAAAAAAAAAAACCACGACAAGCGAAGCTCGCATGTAGCCCAGTTCCTTCCGAATGTTACGTGAGGTGAGGCCAATTAATTAAACTGTCATCCGTGCAGGATAACCATCGATAGGGCAAGTTCAACAGAACGAGAAACTGCCAAAAGCATATTAACGTGCTTCGAACAGGAAGACACCACAGCCGAAAAGCCAAGCACTTTGACATCAACACCGACCTTTCCCCATCAGGTATTGAAAGCCGCATCCGACTGCAAATCCGCTCGTAACAAATTCCTACTCAGACTAGACCCGTCGAACATCAACTCATACTCCCTGTCCGGCGTGCGGACATAAGTAGTTGATCCGCCGCTGGAATGCCGACCGCAAAGCGTCGCATAATCGCTAGATGATGTCGAAGGAATGCGTCCGCAGTTGCTATGCGACCTCCGGACACTCGCATACTGCGATCGCCTCGGACTTTGACGAAGGAGCTCAGCTCGGGTGAGATAGTGATTAGGCTCCACAGTGTGATTGATGGTTTCACGCCAGGGCAAGAAGTCTGGCAGGGAAGGCGATGAGTCCAGGTGACGAGCTCCGACGTGAAGCCCCTTCCGAACTTGGTAAACGTCGAAGAAGTGTTTTCCGAAGACTCCGATGCATATTCCGATCATAAGCATGAGCATCGGAACAAGTACTTCTAACGTCGCGGTATTCTCTCTATCCCGATGTCTCGTTGGAGTAGCTGGAGGGTTAATATGGAAACAAGTACTGATCATGCATCCGCACGAAAATGGAGTGCATATAGTATCGTAAATTACGAGTAAAAAAAATATAACCTAAAAAAGTAGAAAAATCTGATACAAAACCGGACGGCGCTTCAGCTGAGTGTTATTGACGCAATAAAAAATTCTGAAAAGATGCATCTATATTCATACTCCCTTCTTATTATACTGTATTACAAAGACGAATTTCTTAGTCCAGGTAAATCTCACAAGCAGTCAATAAAATTTTCCTCCCTCAAATATACACCACGGGCATCGGAAGTCCCCCATTTGCCCACATGATGAGGGGTTTCTGCTCTATCATAGAAGCGCATGCGCACCTCTGAAAAGTAATATCAAGGGCATTCGGTTCGGGTACATATGTCTGAATAATATTCCAATGAAAGAATTTCTGCTTAAAGCGATAAAATCTCGGCATCGACAGATTTCTGAATTCTGGTTTCACCCATTATTTGGAACACGCTTCTTTCGCACACCGAACTTCCGGATAATCGCGTCGTAGAACGCTAAGATATAATAAGTACAGTATTGCACTGCACATGTTATCGTACCTGATGGACAAATGATGGTCTCGACGGCGCTTCCTTGGCATAACAGGTTTCCATTCGTATTGATTCCAGATGCGGTATCAAACAGACATGTTCTGGTTCGCGATTGATTCACAGCAGTTTCACTGCTACATCCTGACCATTCACTCCAAGCACTCCAACCTTCCGCACCTGTATACGAGCCGCATTTAAATGATGAGAATTTCCAAAACCTTTTTCGACGAGTTTCCCGCAATGTTCATCTCTCAAAATCCTCGTATCGCCATGAGAAATTCCTCGTTTCATACCTGTGCACGGGGCGGTGTTGCAATCTCGTTCTTCCACTGCTGGTCCGAAGCAAATTTCTCCGGAAAGAAGACAATGTCTAGCCCTCCTTTGTCGTCCACCACCGCACACGTTTGAACACTCGTCCCAATTCCCCCACTCACTCCAGTGATCCGAAGTTAAATCTAAATCACCACCTGAGTTCATGATGTAGGCAGAAGAAAAAGAAAACCAATAAATGCGTCGAATCGTACATATCTTTCAACTAATGGATTGCAGCATGCGACATATGCGGATATACATACCGTCTACACAGGATCCGTCAGTGCGGCAGTACCGTTCAGAGACCTTGATGTTGCCAGGTTTCAATTTTGAACGGTCGTCCACGAGAGCTTGACAGGAGAGCTCATATCTGATTTCGTAGTAACCATCACGAGTAGTATTGAACTTCAACCAGTCCGTCGTTTCTATCACCTGTTGTGCATCAGGAGTTTAAATGAATTAATAGCACATCTCATCGCATACACATCACATTCGCATCTTTCCTTTTCGCAAAAGTCAATATGAGGTGAAAAAAAAAGTGCTTTCAACATCTGACGACGTTTTATCGGTTTCTCAGCAATCTTGATTTTGTAATAAAAAGTGCATATACCATGATATTTTTTTTAAACTTTTAAAGAACAATCGGTCAACGTATAACGGCATTAAAGAACTCTTCTTAATAGTGCAATAGTGATGCAAAAACATTTTATGGCTGACTTTTCAAGGAAAATTTCTTCCAGATTCAGTAGTAGAATGCTTTTGTAACATGGTAGCTCAACATTCATGTTTATTTGCATGAATATGATACAGTGATTTCCCGCTGGGAAAAATACTGTATTATACGCACTACAGTATATAAATGCGCTTTGATTGACTGACACTTCATCAAGATCAGCATGAACGGATGCTGTATATACACGGTAAGATGTACGTATTTTTATATTGGTTCATAATACTGCACGGCTGTAAAATTAGCTTTATAGTCTCCATATTTTTCTAAAAAGATGCAAAAAGGAAAGGTGTTGACATCAAAGATGGTGACAGGATGTTGAGTTGAAGTTTTAACACAGCTGTTGAAGCGGTTACCAAAAATTTAGGCTCGCACTCTTCACACGCACACGAAATGAGGTCGAAAGGTTAAACCACCAGCAGCAGTGGTTTAACCGCACACGAATTTGTTTACGAGTAATAAAATGCGAACAGATAAACCCAAGTACTGCACACGAACTACCTCAATGTCATTCCTTGCGTGCTCCTGATTCTTGAAAATAAAATTATATACAGACTATAACAGATATTTTTCCATTAACCGCAGTTGAAACATTCGAATAAAGCAACAATATAAAAGTCCTGCTCATTGAACCTCTATAAATCCGGATGCCAAAAACATCACGCCTCACTTGAAAATGTTTTAATACTAATCCACCAAAATGCCACCACATGAACATACCAATGGTGTAAGAAAATATACGCCTTATTCATCAGAGTGCTCTAAAATGTCGAAGATGCACGTATCCCCGCATTAGGCATAGTGTAATTCATTCCCAACGGAATGAAAGAAAAATAAATATCCCTCTCATCAAAGATACGAAGAAACTGATCAAGTTACGATGATTAAATCATACGCATCAATACGCAAAGATTCTGAGAAAGAAAAATTCAATAGGAATAATTAAATCGAACTTCGCTCAAAAAAAGGAAAACAATTATTTTATCCAATCTGACGGGTCCTATATATCTAGTACTTGAAATACAATCCACGAGTTTATTGGTCTACATTTAATTTTGAGCTATAAATCAAGATTATAAACTGAAGTCCTAAGACGCATGGTTTTTAGTCGAAGATTTATCATGGCCTTGACTCACTCAAACGCAAGCTGCGTTATAATTAAGACACACAACACGATTGCTTGCCAATCAAAAAACGGAGGTCTCGCGGACGCATGAAGAAGGTCTGAAGAATTGAAAAAGTTCCACAGTACTTTCAGATATGATTAAAATTATACGATGCGTACTTTGGTAATTTACTAAAGCATCCGCGGATGTTCATGTCAAAGCTAAAAAAAAAAAAAAAAGATCATCGAAAAATGAACAAACTCGACGCAGGGAAAACATTCAAAAAAATAAATCGGAAAAATAGGCCAATAACTTTTTTCCTCATTTGTTAAACATTTTCAAAATTCGTTGATGTTACTTATATTGTATTTGATACGGTATCCTCAACTCGTCAATGAAGTATATATACGTCTCACGTGCTTTTTCCACTGATATCACAATAAACGAAGTTCAAAAAAACCCGGATTTCACAGATAATAAGCTTCCGATTTTCTTTAAATTTCTGTGTACGGTATTTTTCAGGAGTTATTGCTGCAGCTAGGATTTAGTATCATGTCGAGAACTTGTGGTACTGTACACACTTCACTGATGTTCACTTTTGTACAGTACAGTACCAGTCTCTCGACCAAAGTCTCAATTTTCCGACCAGAGCGCTAATGAGGCAGGAAGAGTTAACCAGCGAATAATGACAATAAAAGTCGTTCGCACGAGCTCACGGTCTGACTCCTGTATAATTAACGAGCACAGTTATAGAAAGCGAGGGAGAGAAAATTAACGAGACTGTAACAAATGCATTACCTTGGCCTCGGGGCAATCATGCTCGTTGCAGGCGCGGATATCGCGGGCACACCCCAGACACGTCAAAGCAGTGCCATTGTTCGAACGTCTTCTACGATCACTGCAAATCCGGGTGCGCTCTTGAAAGCCGCCTCCGCATTGCTTGGAGCAGTTCGTCCACTCAGTCCATTTGTCTTCTATTAAAGTGGCTGCACAGCATAATGAATAAACAGAATAAATAACTCAGAAACTTTGAATTTTGTTAACAAAAATGAAGTTGGAAACCGCGGTTGAATATATAGTATGATGCTTAAACAGGGGGTAAAAGGAAATTTTCTCGGAAGTCTTACTGTAAACCACCAGAAAAGCGTCATGGTATTATTTTGAAAAAGAAAAGAGTCATCAGTCAATACATTAGCATCAGCAGAAGATTTTGTTCAGTTTCTTCAAGTGCAACATCGTAAAAATAATTTCGTTGGACTCTGCAACAACAATCTTCAAACGAGGTCCTCTGTACAGTATAACCAATTCTTTTTTTGTTGATCCCATACGGTTCTTTCCCCATGTCATAGGGGTACTCGTACAAATACGACGAAATTATTTCTACTAATTTTCCCTGGTCTCTCGGATTCCATTGCGGAGAAAGAGTCCACACATTATAATACAGGTGCTGACGGGCCCTCAATTACAAAGAACAACTTGTTATTTACACAATACAAGTTGTTCGTTGAAATTATTTTCACAAATATTTTTTTCGGTTCTCTCGAATTTCGTTGTTGAGAAAAGAGTCCACACATTATAATACCCGTGAGGACTCGCTCTACAACAAACAACTTATTATTCATACAGTATAAATGGTTTGTTGAAATTATTTTTACTACAGTACAGAACTAATTTTTTTCTGGTCTCTCGAATTTCGTTGCGGAGAGAGAATCCACTCAATAGAAGAAAGGTGGATACTCTCTCTCTCTACAACGAACTTCGAGGGACCGGAGAAAAAAAATTGTTGTACAAAGAACCTCTGGAAAACGGGAAATAAAGCGCCCTGACGAGGGTCCAAAAAAATTCGCTACACATCAAAAATCACTTCAGACAAGGGTTGTTGTATAGAGACAGAGTCCATCTGACGCACTGAAAACAATGACATATTATATGCAATATGATATGAGACTCACACGGGCAAGGCGGGATCATGCATTGAGCATCTTCAGTGTCCTTTCCCGCACAGGCTTTGCCGCCAAAAGCCGGCGGCGGATTCGTGCAAAACCGGCGCCTCGTTTTATGCGCGATCCCGCACGTCTGGCTGCACGGGGACCACTCGGACCAGGGCGTCCAGCCGCCGTCCACGGTGCAATTGGTCACCTCGATCGAGTGGCCCGTGCAGGCCGTCGTGTCGGTGCGGAGAGAGGACTTGGAGCAGAACCGGGACCGACACAGGCAGGAATGACCTCGGGCTGCTCGTTGCCCCGCGGGCTGCCAGACCTCGTTCTCCCAGTTGTAGTTCTGGGCACACGTCGACCATTCCGACCACTCTGACCACGAGGCAACTGCGTAAATGAGAGAGACATTTGTAAAACATGGCATCACTTTTGCATCAAGTTATTAAAAAATTCTTTATTTGGTACAGGAATTTTAATAACAAGTTCATTCGCCGTTGAATGACGAAGCAATAAATAAAACATATATTGAAGATTGGGGTCACATCAGCAGTATCACTCTTGAAGCACTAGTTTTTGTTTTTAATGTTGGAAGGGGGTTCTCCCACTGAAGCCAGTGGTTCTACATTCTTAACAATAAAAAAAACTGGCAACACTTACCAAAGTGATCTCAAGATTTTCAAAAACATTCGCTTCTTTTGCATTTTTTCAGATTTTCTAGGAAATTTTTTCCAGGCACTGCGCAATGAAAATTTTAAACTTTCCAGGTATGACTGGAGTTTTCCAGGAATCATTGACATCACAACCCCGATCATGAAATCAATCCTTCCCGTTATCCCCAAACAGTTGCAAGACTGAACATCTGAATCATCGTCACGCGAATTTTCAGAATATCCACAAAGACAGTTATTTTCCCGTCAGAACATCCGTAAATTCTCCTCCTATATAATCTCGATAAACCATCCCACGAAACGAATCTATCGGATCCGCACCCGGCGAACTAAGGATTACGGTACTTGCTAATCCTGCTATTTATTCCAAGACATCGCTGTTCTTTAAACAAATTCTATTTATTCATTTTTTTTTTACGACGGAGGATCGAGGTCTCCTCGAGGAAATAATTCATACAATACGGTTGATTATTACTCCAATCATCAGACCACAAACATCCCTGAATAAACACAAGCTTTTCCATTCCACGAGAAACACAACGGTACATCATCATCATCTGCAGACCAGGTACTGAAGTACTGCAAGCCGAACGAATCGTTTTGCATAACCACGGTCGGTATTTATCTCGGCGAATAGAATAATCCATCGCGTCGTTCATAAGACACCATTCTGTGGTTTACAGGCATTTAAAGAGAGAATAAAATTTGAACGTTAAAATCGAAGAGAGATTTTATTCTACTCATGCTTTCAGTTATACTGGCCTTTGATAAAATTAATAATAAAAAAACCAGGACCTTCTCAATTGTGTCCTTGGAAGTTAAATTGAAAGGATGATTCATAAATTCATTTATTCAATAAGAAGATTTCAGTTTATCGTGCCCTTTTCCAGCACACATTCCATTATTTGCGAAGACGAATTTTCGTAGCAACTAAAAAAAGCGCAGGCTTTATAATTTCGGTAATCACGATCTGATTAATTAGTATAATTACAAGCAACCGGAAAAATTTGTGAGAGGGTTTTCACAGTACCTAAGAGTGGTTTGGAATGTTAAGCTTTTGGATATAATAGTAAAAATTAGAATGATCGCGATGAAAGGAATCTATAATGAGTTAATTAGCCTGCCAGCTCTTGTGAATTACTCTTTTTGCTTTTCAATTAGGTGAGAAAAATGCTGAGTTGTTCTTTTCGAGTAACGTATTTTATTTATTGCCATTTATATTTTTAGGTAAAAAAAGCTCCCTTTGTTAAATTTTTGTTTAGTCCCTGTCTGCATCTCTTTAAAAAAAGTACATTCTAGAATCTCAAATCTTATAAAGGCTCAGGAAAAGAGGAAAGCAATAAAGAGGAAACTTTATGTTTATCCAAATAAAGTAAGTGACTAAGAGGGAAAATAAACCCTTGCCTTCAAGTTCAGCATCCTGTCAACTCATTCATTCAAGAGTTTAAGGCTTTCAAACTCACCCATTTTACCTTCTTACTGTAAATCTTAATGATTTTTCCCAAGCAAAAAAGGAAATGTCTCCAACTAGAAAACTTCCCGAGTTGAATGTGTTGTGCGACTTTCTGAATTTAACTTGAATACTTTAGAATTTTGTACATTTTGCTTTTCAAAATAAAAGTCTTTCTCCAGCATATGAAGTTTTGCACACTATTTTCCAACTGGTTTTCCTTTTATTTTCAATTTGCATTTCCAATTATTGCTGTTTTTCATTGCCAGAAGGACAAATTTGGCAATAAATCCTGGAGGTGAACCTGAAATTAGGCTGTTTATGGTGTCGCAAAATTAAATGCTAGAGTATAATTTGTTACACTGAATAAAGAACTAAAGAATCCGAATTCTCAGAAAAACTTGTCCTTGGTTCACACACATTTTTCGGAAGGCTCCACGGCTGTTGTCTATTGCTAAAATCCTGGTTCTGTTATTTGTCCTTGGAGGACAGTTTTCCTGGTTTCTGAATCCATTGAAACTCTCCACTCTTCTCTGAGCTCTCATACAAAATACTCCTGTGTGTTTGTGAAATATTGTGTGTATTGACTGTGTGTTTGAAACTTTGAATTACAACAACTTCGAAATAGGGTGAGATTTCACCCCGGTTGTAGCCCAACCCAATTCTGGTGTTTTATTTCCTAAAAATTGTAAAGTCTAAACCTTTTCTCGTAAAATCTTCATTTGTCAAGGATTTATTCCCAACATATGTCCTCACAACTGATCACCAATTTTACCATACTGTAATTCTTCATCCCCACCCCAAAAAAAAACGCTACAATATTTTATTCTGCGCTAAAATTCCTCAAGTCACACTTTTTCTCGGGTCTCTCGGGAGTTTAACTTGAAGCGGTTCAACTGTATGTGATATACCGTAAAATTTTAAATTTCGCAACAAAATTTTACCTTCAAGTCTTGAGCAGGATTTGAATTCGGCTGGTTCCCAACGACCACTGATGGCTTCCGATCTCGAAGTACAAGAGCCGCGATGTTTGCCACTGTCCCAACCACACATGGGGTCTCCAGAAGACAGACATTCGTCCTTGGAATTGAATCGATGACATCGTTCCATGGGCATTCGCAGGATTTTATGCTCCGTGCCAATGTACAAATAATCCTGAAGACAAAAAAGAAAAACATCAGAGTTTTTAATCAAACCACGACGATTTTGCTCGCCAGAGATTAACGAATAATTAATTCTGAACGAAGAGCCACGGAATCACGACGAATCGCAAATATTTCAGCTTTATGCCGTGGTTCCATGGCATTATTGGCAATTTTAGACGGAATGATTAAAATACAGTACAGTACTACCTTGTACTTCAGCTTCAGTGACGTGGGTAAATTTTAATCGTACGGTAAGTTGAGGCTTCACAAAACTAATTGCTTCCTTTCAACCTGACAAGGACGTTTGTCTTGAAGCTTTAAAAATAAATTCGCCATCAAGAATCCAATCTTTATTGCATTTTAGAAAAGCAGAAAGAAAAATTGCGAATGATGAGGAAAAACGGTGAACTGAGTTCAATTTTTAAACCCCCTTCGAGACTTGAAACAATTTTAGCACTTCCATAAAAAAGCACTGCCTCTGACTTCAAATAAAACATCACTAAAACAGTTGAGTAATCCTAAAAATATGAAACCCCTCAATTTTTTAAAATTCAAAAATAGATGGGACAGAAAAACACCTTATTCTCTTGTCGTTTATTGATTTTTAGAATTTCATAGTCTGAAAATGAAACTTGCTGAAATGCATGCATATATTGGCCAGAAAATTGGGTTTTTAAAAAAAACGAATGAACAGTCGCCTTTTTTCTTATGTGGCCATTTTTATGCGAATTTTCAATTAACGCCAGTAATTTGTTCTGCTAGAAATCTGCGAATATACGAGGGTTCTAAAAAAAGTTCTCGGACTGGAAGTTAAAATGGCATATAACTGAGCTGAAAAAAATTTTATTCGTTCGGGAAAATATATTTTTTGGCACACAAAAAATTCAGCCCTGTTTCACAATTTTTTGGAATGTTTTGCAAAATTAACCCTGGCAGAGTTTTACTCTTCACTCAAAAAATGAGGCTCCCTTCCTGCAGATTTTTTTGTTGTTGAAGCCCAGCATTCCACTTCGTTTTTTGAGTGGAGAGCAAAACTCTGCCAGGGTGAATTTCGCAAAACATAAAAAAAGGTCAAACAGGGCTGATTTTTTGTGTGTGCCAAAGAATATATTTTCCCTAAAGAATTCTTTTTTTTTCAGCTCAGTTGTATGCCATTTTAACTTCCATTCCGAGAACTTTTGTTAGAACCCTCGTAATACTGTATAGAAAAAATGAAAAAAATAAAAGAAGTAACGGGACAAGCGTCATTGAGAAAAAATATGGTTGATTATTTTATGAAATAATTTTTTTTTATTTGATTAGAGTAAAATTTCGACTTCCCAACATACGGTGCGCATCAAGTTTTTACTTCAATTAAAAAAAAACCCCCGTACAGCAGGAAATAAAAGATTGCCCAATGAAAGAAGCTTTTATGGGAACAACTGAAATTTGCAGCACATTACCACAATGTGCAACGAACCCACCCATCGTTAAAATGAATCTCTTCCCACCAACAAACAAAAAAACAAATTAAGTACGGTAATAAGCTCAGTTATTCTTATTCTCTAAATAATCAAAATCACATAAAAACAAAAAACAAGTACTACAAGCCCCGTGAGACAATCCCGTGTATATTCCCTGAAAACGAGGCCCGGGGTGAGCTTCAACATGCATCCAGCACCATCGGAATAATTCCAAAATAAGTGGATGCAGTGTTCTTTTCATAATTACCGGCGAATAATGGGGGAAAGCCAGTAGTACCACAAGCCGCTTCGAAGCGGGAAAAGTACAATGCATACAACGGCTCATCAGGATTCCATATACAGTACAGTACCGTACATACAGTGCTTTATATGAATAACCGAACAAATAAACCCACCGTGTTCTTGAATGCTTTGACGAAGTTGATCCGGTCGCCAGATGTCGCACTTAGAGGCGGAGAAATCCGCTCTACGACGCAACCCCGTCGTTTCTTCGCCACGATTTTCCAAAGCTCTCCGCCTTCGAAGGCCATGAACAGCATCATCCCGGGTTCACCCAAAGAATGTATTGCCAAATGTGTCCCTCTGGTGAAAAAAACAACAACAATAAAAGTATTAGAAAGATGAGTTAAAAAAAGTAAAAACAGTTGAAATATTCCGCTAAACTTCATCTGGAATGAGACGCGCAGCTCAGCCTTTGTCGATAAAATTTTTCAAAAGTCAAACATCTCCGTCAAATTCCGAGGGACCTTCATATAAATTCAACTTGGGGGAGTTTTCGAGTTGAGGAAATTCGCATTTTCGCCGTAGGAAAAACTGAATGATGACAGGAATTTAAAATTTGTGATATATTTTCTGGACGTTGAACTGTTGGGCAAATGAGTTGACAGAATGCTGATCTTTGCAGCGAGGGGTTATTTGCCCAATTAATTACCGGCTTAATTTTAAAAATCACATATTACTGCTTTTCTCTTTCGTGTGTCCAACGAATAAAAGCCCAAATGCCGCCACAAATTTTCGATTTGAAGAGGTTTGACGGAAAAAAATGAGTTAGGAAGGTCATAATAGACTTGAATTTCGTAATACCGAATCCATGCTTACAACGAATTTGCCTTTTCAGTCCCTGTCCAATAGCCAATAAAAATGCTATTTCAATTTCGTTTCAACGAATTTTCGGTTATAAGATAACGAAGCTTTTTAAAATCCCAACCGCTTTTGTTATAACGAGATTGTTCTAAAGAGAATTCAGACATAAACTAAAAATAAAATTTGACACACAGGGATTTTTGATTGCGGGAAGTTTGAGTTATCATGGTCCAACTGTAGATGTTTTTTTTGTGTGTCATGAATGCATCAAGTGTCGAGACTTCGAAGCTTCAATAGAAACCTTTTTTGACCTATGATTAAAAACAGCTCATTATTCGAACTCAAAGGAGAGCATAATTTTTCGATTCTCAATTCAAATTTTTAAAAAAAATAGGATTTCACGTTTTTGCAATTTGGAAGAAAGTCCAGAATATTTTAACACGCGTTCAACTCGTCGTCCGTTCATGAGGTACACATCCGATTTTTTTTTCTATTCCATCCCGAATTTTAGCAGAATAATTTAGTCTAGTAAGAATAAAATTACCAGCAGCTTCAGTAGGTTGTTGTTTTTTTTTTTCCTCGAGAAAAGGCAACGAGAAACTTTTTTGATTCATATCATTTTGAAATCTATTAACCCAGATAATTTCTTAGACAACCTTCCACAGTATTGAAAATTATACTGTACTTGAAAAATGAGAATAAATAATCACCTTCGACCGTCGACTTTCCACAAAGGTTCTCCTGTAGTCGGCGCAACAGGCTTCTCCATCAACTGGTACTTCCAACTTTCCATTATATCCGTTTCATCCATGGAACCATTGCAAGAAAAGTGATCTTCGATGAATCACCGCGTGGAATGAAAATGAGAAAAACGAAATTTCGATTTTTAAAATTCAATAGCCTCGGCTCGGAAACAGGCACACGTCGAATTCACGTCTCCTCCTCCTCCTCCTTCTTCTTCCCCATTCATCTCCACGCACGTGGATGTTTCGCTTCTTTTTTTTCACGCCTCAGAGTGCCCGAAATTTCAAAAATTTCCAGTCCCATTTTTCCCCTCATAAAATACCTTTCACTCGACGTCCTTGCTGAACGGAAACCCAGGCCGAATTCACGCTCGGTTGGTACTTGAACGGCCCATTGAACGATCTTTCGATGTCAGACAAACTGAAAGCACACAACGCTGAACCAGGCAACGCGTTTCTGAAAGCAGATAAAAAAAATTAGAACTTGCGTAACTTTTTAAGCACATTTTATTTGCAGGAAATTTACAACCAACGCACAAACGAAAAAAACAAAAACAAACAACCGTGATTCAAGCGCACACCACAACGATTGAGCAACCGAGGAATGATCGTCAATGCGAAGGAAATCAATTCTTGAAATTGATTCATGTTTGAGTAACCGGATAAAAGCATTTAAAAAAAAAGGTTTCTCAACAGTCTTGTGAAACGACCAAAACTGCTTATTGCAATCTGATAATCAATAAATTCCTGCATTCGTAAAATTATTTCTAGAAATTGATTCGGGGTTTGAGTGACTGGAGAAAAATATTAACGAGGCTCGGGGGTCCTCATAAATCTTGTGCAACACCCACCAGAAATTCTCATTCCATTCAGTTGATAGATAATTTTGGCATTCGTAAAATTATTCATTGAAATTGATTCTGGTTTAACTAGGGGGAAAAACTACGAAAACACTTATAAAAAAAACTGATGCGAAACACCCAGAAATTCTCATCGCATCAAGCCAATAAATAATAAAGAACATTCCTAAAATTTTACCACGAAATTATTCGGGTTTGAGTAATTAGAGAAAAAGACACGAGACGGGTTCTCAAAAATCTCGCGCGAACCCAAAAATGATAATTTAATCGAGAAGATACATTAATTACTGTACAGCGTTTTTGATACTATTTCTCGACATTCATTCAAGTTCGTATCCTAAAAAATAAACCCGGGGCGTTTCTCAAAAATCTCGAGAGAATCACCCCAACATATCTCAGCAAAAAAATTAGATAAAACATGAGCATTCTTCAACTACACAATCCTTCAAATAAAAGAGGGTTCAGTGACCAGAAACAAAACAAAAAAAGGACCAACACGGGTCTCACAAATCCTCGGCGCAAATTTAATTATTTTCGAAAATTCGATCACGAGGCATCATCATGAAACTTTTCTAAACCGATTTTCAATAATCAATTTCTCCTTTTATAGAAATAAAATAAGTACTCACTCCGCAGTCGTGAAAAGTCCATAGAATGTCTTGGTGTCCCGATCGAATTCGATGGCTTGCAGTTCATCATAGAAAAAAGGAATTTTCCCGGGTATCATGCAAGTCAGTCGAGCTTTCAAATACGTCGTCCACGTGTATTTCTTTCCTGTTTCGGACTTACAAACTCTGGCAACCCTCGAATACACCGTCTGCGAAAATAAAAAAAAAAAAACTTCAGGTTGAAAGTCGAACTCCTTCGTTAAATGCATCACTGCAAAAAAATTAGAAAGCATTCTCGAAGAACAATAGCACACAATTTTCTGAATTTTTTTTTCGTTACATCAACTTGAGCAACGTTTTGCGAATTTATATAACGACGTGTTTCAAGCAGTAAAACGTTCTGAAATTGCTCCACAGATTTCCCAACTTTGAAATACAACCCAACAGAAAAACAGCTGCGAGGTTATTTTCCAAAGCAGCTGGAAGTCATTTAGAAAAAAATTCCAGTCTTATTCCAGCGGGGTTATTTTCAAAAAAATATTTCTCCAAGCCACTCGTAATTTTTCATGCAAAAATAAACTTGTAAAATTTTTCTTAGCCCGGATTAAAAACCTCCGACTTTTATATTTCTTCGACAAGTTAAAATGGAAGAGGATCAGGAGGAAGAAAACAAAAAAACAAAACAAGTACTTCACAGTACAGTACTGTACGCTCACCTTCCCGCAGTTCATGAACTCCACGGCACTTTCTCGGAAGAAAAAGTAGACAAAGTCGTCATTCTCGTACGAACCCACAAAGTTGGGTTCGTCAAGCCAAATGGGGTTGTACTGGCGGGTGCGAAGGATGGCATTAGGGCCGCCTCGTTCCCGGGAAGTGGCCAACACGTGCTTGTGGGTACTGGACCGACAAATGGCCGGGTCCTGGCTCAGAAAGTCCAGTGGACTTCCTGAAAAAAAGAAGAAGAAAAAAAAGATATAATAAAATAATTCAGTAAATTAAAAAAAATGCGGCTTCGGTTAATGAAGGTGATCTTATCTGGAACGAAGTCCCTTATCCGAAAACAATAACGAGCAGAAAATGTACAAGTCCTTTTTTCCACTTTGATTTTGAATAAACTTTCGAAAAATGTGTCCTAGTTTTGCGCGCCTTAAAATGGTTCACAATAACATGAGAACCAGAACAAAAATAGACCTTTATTTTCAAAGTCAAACTACAAAAACGCGTTTCACATTTTTTGATTTTTTAAAAACAAATGGTTTTACTAAAACATGCTTTTCACAATTTTATAAAAGAAGTCCTAGTTTAAAAAGTCTTTAAATTTTTGACAGTATACAAGCCGTCAACCAGAATAAATATGGACTTTGGTTAGGAATGAACGGCAGAAATATGTTTTCAGATATGTTTCACGATTTTGTTTTTGCCTTGCATCGTGCTTCGTTGATTTTTATATTGTAAAAGCTGTCCTAGTTTCATGCGTCTTTGAATGATCCGCAAGTTTTAAACCGAGCCCCAATTTCGGGCGAAATTTCAGAACAATTTTTCGGGGAATTTACGAATTTTTTTGGCCTCCCATCCGGTGCTTTAAATTTGATGAAATCTGTCCTAGTTTAGCGCGTCTTTAACAAGTTACTAGACAACTAACGCTTCGAATTCGTTCACGGTTATTTTTCAAAAATGGTTCTATAGTTCGTTTGCCACTTTTTTTTCGGAGAAAAAAAAAGGAATGGGAACGGCAGGAAAATTCAGCTTCGTGGCCCAATTCCGCACACCCTTCGCCAAAAAATGCCCGTTAAGATTGTTCTGCTACAGTTGATTAATTAATCCGAGGAAAATCGAAATGCCCTTTAAATACTGGCCCCAAACGTGCGTCTCAAACACTAAAATAACTCAATTTGCCAATTCACGAAGTTTTCAACTTTCCACAGCGGGAACAACTCTTGCGTAGAACTCTCGGAAATTGGTTCAATTTCCAGAAATTGCGTTTCATTCGAAGTGAAAATGAGAGATACAGTAATTACAATTTACAAACTCCCTCTTCGAAACTCACCAGTAAACAAGGCACCCGTGTCACTCAACAGCGAAGTAACATTGCTTTGAGGCGAATACGGACACTTGGCCATTCCTTCCAGCTGCTCAACAACTTGGCTCAGGTTTCCAATCTATAAAATACGCGCATAAAAAAAAGGTACTATACAACTTGGAAATTATGCGAGTCAGAATCAGCGAGCAAGTCCCAACAACATCATGCAATCACAGAAAAAACAGCATACATAAAAATTATACAGAGAACGAACTGCAAAAATGCTGCAGTACGCACTTGAAAGCGGTGGAGAATAATTAATCATGAGTCCAGATAAATTGTTTCAATTTTGAAGTCCAGCCTTTATTCTCGAAAAAAAAAGTTCTTGACAAACAACTCGAAGGTTTCAATTAATTTAGCTAAAAATGCAAATTCAATATCTCAAGTTTCACGAGCATATTCTCGTTTTCTAAAAAAATATAAAAATGCTCATCAGCTTCAGATCCAGCTGATACAATCTTTAGCACTATTTTTTTGCGGCAGAAACTTGAACGAAATAATTCCGTAACAGCTGACATTTCCATTAAAAGAAAGAAGTCTATAAAATTGAATTTCGCAGAGAAAAAAAAAACGCGATCAAAAATGAGATGCCGAGGCTGAGAGTATTTGAAGAGCCGATTCCAACTCGAATGTTTTTCCAAAATTTTCAATATTTTCAAATTAAATTCGAATTTAAAAAAAAATTGCATTGCGTGAAGTTACTCGCGTGAAACCCGGAGATCGGCAAATTTCGTATGACCGGAACAACACCAAAATTCCAAATGTCGAAGAATTTCAATGAAAAAATTCGTTAAAAAAATAATAAAGCATGCTTTTCCATGACTTTACCTTTCGCCATTCACAAGTAGGAGAAAAGGCGTTTGTGCCACAAGTGAAAAACTCCTCGTGTGAGGAGTTCATCACCAAGACACGAACAAAGTTGTGGCAATCCGAGTCGTGCTGACCCTTCATTTGGCACGTGGAAATCTTTTCCGCACTCGACGACCAACGGGACTCGTCCAATTTCTTCAAGTCCCTGAAAGACGCCTTTGCCAAATAGTCCCTGCAAAATTGAGAGAGGATACAAAAATGAGACAATGTTCTACAGTCTCTTCAGCATTGGGTAACACCATCATCATCATGAAAATCGTTCGCTGTGCGAGGATTTTCCTCTGACATTACAGTAAAAACCTCGTTACAACGAACTCCGAGAGACCTGTGGAAAAATTCGTCGCGACGAAAAATTCGTTATAATGAGATTCATGGTTCATCGAGCATTCAGGATTTACATTTCGTCGGGAAACAGGTAATAAATGCGTCAACGACGTACAGGTGAGTAACTTTCATCATTTCCAATTTTTGATGAACTAATGAAGAACATTTTAAATATAAAATGCAATTATCTAATGTTGCTCTTTCAGTTCCTAAAATTTCCTCAAGTTAAAATGCACTGAAAGTTACGCTGAAACAAGCAAAAATACGCGCGTAAGAAGAACATTTATTATGGGCAATTCAAAACGAATGTATATGTTCCCTGAAAAGGAGAAATATTCTTTCAAGCATCCCTTTTTTAAATTCTCCATTTCTGAATTCTAAAATGGCAATGAAGAAATTCCGATACTGTAATAGCATCATGTTACAGACTTCTTGCGATCATACTACATTTTGTGCACACGAAAATTAGCATTTTTATTATTCGAGGATTTTTAACGATGCACAAGCTGGATTTTCCAATATTTGAGCCAATTTTGAATTCTTTTTATGGACCATTCACACATAATCAAAGGAAAGCATTCGGTATTCAGATGGATTTTCTCTCTCTCACGATCTTGCCTACAAAGATATTCTCTGTATACGATTTTTTTATCCCATCGGACAAAATAAAAATCAGCCCGTGCTCCAGGGGTTTTTCTGCAACGAAATTCTCTCTAGAACGAATTTCTTTCGGGTTCCTCGAATTCCGTTGTTAGGAAAGTTAATCAGCACTAAGATTATTGCAGAAAATTAGTTCGTCAAAACCGATAACATTGCTCCTATGGAGAAACTGCTGGAACTTTCGAAAAAATAGTTGTAACGGAATTTTACTGCATTTGAAAAACAAGTCCAACGTTTTATAGTCAATCCCGAGCAATAGAAGAATAAAACCGAATAGCTTCCGGTGCTTCAAAACGGCACTGGTGTGTTCTGACACAAAAAAAAGAACAAAAATTACCTTCGATCGTATCTCTACAGGGGGAAAAGTCCATAAAAAAAAACCCGGACATCCGTATTTTGGTACTGGAACTTTTTGTTACAAATAAAAAAAAAATTCGCCTTCCTATTCGTTTTTTTGTTTTGTTCGTTTTTTTTGGATCACGGACACGATGAGCTAGTCAACCGACTGTCGGAAGCAGAGCAAACAGAAAGATCATTATCGTCCGTTTCAAAAACCCCTAAAAAAAGAAAAACACCAGCGCCAATTTATAGCAGGAAATCATACCAGCGAAATCGAAGTTAGACTTGCAAGTTTTAATGGCTAACGAAAAATAAAGCATTTCGCAACGATTGGAGAGAGAGAAAAAAATATTTGACCGCTTCAGCGTTCACTTCATCCCGGAAATCGGGGAGTGGTGACTCGGTTAACGGCCTTGCTTCGCTTCCGCGGGAAAAATACTATAGTATTATAATTAATACTGTTACTTGAGTTATGTAGACGTGTGCGGAAATGCAAATGACACTTTTTTTTCAGAGCCCCGCAAAAAGTTGCGCAATGCTACAGGAATTTCACTCGGGTTTTCAACATCATCTGATTAGCAGCAACAAAAAAATATATATATATATATATTGTATATACTGTGTATATATTTTTTCTGCTAATCAGATGATATATACAGTACATATATATTTTTTCGCTGCTAATATATATATAAAAATACACTAATAAATAAACAAAAAAAGATACACATATATATATATATATATTTTTTTTTGCTGCTAATATATATATGCGATGAGCATAAATTTGCCAGTGTAATAAAATCGTCATTCCCTAACTAATACAGTGTTCTTTAATTTTTTATTTGAACAGTTTGAATCGAATAAGAGAATACAGACAGTTGAAAGTTCACTCAATCAATGATGTGAGGGAATTCAATTTTTTTTCCTGCGTGTTTCACGCATTTTCAACCAGTTGCAACTGTTCTCGAATATTTTTAATTTTTGAAAAGATCATTTCACGTTTCTTTACAGATTTTTCAAAGAATATTTCAGCTAAAAAATGGTAACTGAACATGATGCTTGAAACTTGAACTTAAAGTTCCAGTAAGAAAATTGAACGCAATATTTTTCTTTACAGATTTGGCTGAAATGTTTCGGCAAAAAATGTCAACTGAAAATGACACAAGAAACTTAAATTTCAATTTCCAGCAAGAAATTGAACACAAGCTTAGCTAAATTTTTAATGATCCCTCAGCAGCTTCGGGGGATTCTGACTCAGAATCTTCAGTACCTAAAGAACTTTATTTCTCGATAATTAAGAACCCTTCGAAACTTTCTAATGCAATTCATAGAATATAAGCAAAACAGTGACTAATCGATGGTAATTGGAAGGAACCAAAGGGGGATTGAGACTCTTTATTATTCTTTTTTTTAACAAAAAAAATTATCCGTCCACTGAGTTAATGAAGGCGTCACAGATTTAAAACAGAGTCCACGCATTTCGACGTTAGATTTTGCTCTACATTTAGCAATCATAAACAAACAGGAAAGAACTGCGATAAAACTCAGAACATTTTTTTGCACTCGATTCATTCCCCACACTTTATACTGCCCTGCGAATGATTTTCCATCACTTGATCTACCATGAACACACATTCAACAGCTTCCTGTTTCCTGATGAACGATTCAACCGTTTGTTTTTCCTTTACAAAAAAAGAGATTTAAGTAAATCCTTTACAGCAAAATTCAAAATCAACAAATCATGGTAATGTACCTTGATTGAAAGAAAGACGGAAAATTCAACACCGTCTTCAAATTGTGTTCTCAGGAAAAGGCCAAAATAATTTCCAGAACTTGAAAAAAAAAATCATTGACGTGTGATTACTTCAAAAGTCTGGAATTCTGCACTCTCAAGTTACTTCATTATATTGTCTTAAACATTACAGACCCGTCGAAAAAAAATAAGCGAGAACTTCGAAGCACTTGAAAAAAAAACAATTTCAAGTGTAATTAAACCAGCTCAGGTGCTATCAGTTAGTGTGTCTTTTATAACTTCGAACTTAAGCATGAAATTTTTTCTTATCCGGTGAACGAATAACGAAAAATATCTTTCGTATAATAAATTCCTCTCAATTTTTCTAAATCTACATTTTCTAAAGTTTTAAACATCTCTTCGAACGCACAAAGAAAAAACAAGCGTGGATAAAAGCTCATTGGTGTAAATGATCAGTGTCAAATAATTGAACAAGGAAGAGCATTATATATTGTCAAAGGCAGAACACTTTCAAACGCTCAAAATTTGGATTTTTACGCTAATTAAAAAAAATAAGAGCGCCAAGGGAAAAAATTACAGATGGCTCAGAATTTGAATCAAGATAATTTACCGTACATAAAAGGAAACACAATAGGAAGCCATGGTTTTATGCCGTTGTTATGAAATTAAATGAAAATTTATTTTAGCAACGACAAGGTTTTTCAATGTGTTCGGACCGTAAAAAGACATTTTTAAAAGAGCGGAGTCGAAAGCAAATGAGTAAAACGTTCCTAGAAAATTTCCATTCAAAACTCACGAAGATTAAAAAAAATAATAATTGCCACAGTATTTTCACGAAGAAATTCACTGCAGTTCTGAAATTCGATCGGTCAAAAAATGAGAAGGGAAAAGAACCAAAAAAATTTCCCCCAATTCATCTCTTCCGAGGCAATCGACGACTGACCTTCATGCCGACGGGAAAATTAAAAAAAAAAAAACGGATCGGAGTTTAATAAAATTCTGATGAAAAGAAAATACCATAGAAAGCTACATTAAAGTCACTCGACGTCAGTTCTGAAATATAATTCAAAAGCATTATATCAAAAGCACCATTTTACCAATGAGTCCGATACATAAAATAAAAATGTTAATCAAGAAAAGAAGTCGAAAGCCCAGGACAAACCCGACCCAATAATTTTCCACTCAAAAAATCACGAGGATTTGCGGTTTAAAAAAAATAATAATCACGGCAGTATTTCCGGAAAGATATTTATTCCCGCTCTGAAATTCGATAATGGGAAAAATAGGCAAATACATGTTAGTAATTCATTCGCTTCGAGGCAATCGATTGACCCACATCCATCTCGTTGAAATGTCGATTTCTGTGCCCCAAATCATTTTTTTTATAGCGGTGAAAGGATTAATGCTTTTGGCGCCCTGTCGCGTCATCAATTCCATTCCATTTTAAAGAACGAATGTATCATTTGAAGAATAGAATAAAAGAAGCTCACTTCTGCGAATCGATCCCGTAAAATATATTTTACACGCATCGTAACTTTCAGGAACAGTTTTCGATTTTTTTTTTCAAATGTATAAATACCTTCTAGGTCGATTTTTCAAACGCACATACTGGTTGAAAACCTGAATTCCACACCCTATTATAAATTCATACCAATTGCTTTTCAGTCGTTTTGGCTTAATTTGTCACTTCATGGTAGCTGTGACTCCAAAAAAATTGCCAAGTACAACATTAGGAAACTTTCATCCCAACTTCAATATACAGTATCTCAAAAATTGTGAGAACAGAAAATGCGACAGAAAAACAATTATTTTTACTACCGTCTCCAATTTGGCCCAAATTCTACGTTTCGTTTCAATTGCTTTTCAGTTGTTCGCACTTTAATCTGTCACTTTATGTTTGCTCCGAGTCCTGCGACTAAAAAAAACGTCAATGTAAAAATTGGTAGAAAAAAAAATTGCAACCCAACTTCAAGGCGTCAAAAATTATGAAAACAAAAAAACTGGAAAGAAAAACAAATCCTTTTACTCTAGATTCAAATTTAGACCTAATTCGAAGTTTCGTCTCAATTCCTTTCGAGTTGTTTTAGCTTAATCTGTTTTTTTTTTTTATCATTGAGGTGACTCAAAAAATATATAGAAAATGCCAAAACACAGAAATGATAAATTTTCATCCAACAGCATTTTCAACACTTCGAAAATAATTAAAACAACAAAAAATGCTTTCCAAACTCGACTCAAGCAGACAAGTGCATGATCACAAAAATGACCCATCACCAGAGTTTATTTACACGCTCACCAACCGGAAATAAATCCTCAAGACCTTTTAAATTACCAAGAAAAATATAACCTTATAAATAACCACAAAAAAAATAAATAATCATACTGTATATTCATATACTTTTCGGCTCCAAATAATAGCCGGCATGCATCATGTGCGGATACCGATTTTTCCCTTATCCGGAATTGTACCGACTTCAACTCCAGAAAATAAAGATAAGCCGAGAAAGGCGGTGGAAAAAGGATGTCAATTGTAAACAGCGCGGTTTTACGGCCCCCAAGTCCAGGCATCGGTGCATTGTCAACATCCAGCCCGAAGAATAGAGTTCTTTTATCGCAGCAAAACCTCTCAACTTATATACACTCAAGTGTATCGTGACTGTACAGAAGAAGAAGAAGAACACGAAGAGGAGGGAAAAAAATAGAGAACGATTTCAGCGAGAGAAAAGTCAGCGGAAAGATAAGGGAAATTTGAAATCGCGTGTTTCCGTGGAAACACAAAAACAGGGGTTCTTGAATTGATTGATAGCATTGAAATGTAGACTGCGTCGCGGCGGTTTTATCTCACGATTCTATTGCGCTTTGAAGATTATATTACGGCACAGTATTTGCTCGATAATCACTCGAGAGATTAATTTGAAATGGAATTTTCTTTGTTGGAGTTGAAAGCGTAAAAAAATGGCATGTTCTTCAGTCGAAAAAAAAAATGTTGGCCGTCGCACGATTTTCAAAATTTGCAGTTTTATCTCAAGATTCAATTGCACTTTGAAGATTAGAATACAGCACAGTATTCGTTCGATAATCACTCGAGAGATTAATTTAAAATTGAATTTCAGCGTTGGAGTCGGAAGAGTTAAAAAAAAATGCGGGACAAAAAAACGGCACATTCTTTAGTCCCAAAAAAAAAAATTGGCCGTCGCACGATTTTCAAAATTTTAAATTTATCAACGCATTGAAACGTGTCTCTTGAACGAGTGCAATTCACTACCTTTAAAAATCAAAAATCCATATAAAAAATGCATTTCATTCAATTGTGAATTACGGCAACTAAATTGCCAAAAAAAATTTGCATTCGCATGCGGATTTGAATCAAATGTTTCCGAATAAAAAGTCGCCAACTGCTTTTTAATGGAAAATTCAATGGGCGAGAAGGGAGCTTGTCCCGAATGCGCATGGCTTGAGATTACCAATGGACTTAACCAAAGTTTAGATTTTCAGAGTTACTTTTCACGCGTTTATAAAATACGGTTTCTTACGAATTTAAGAGAGAGGTATCGCGTTTGCACAAGAGATTAAAATTTGCGAAAGCGCGTTTTTTCCATCTCCCGCCAAGAACATTTTTCAAGAGTTATCCATGGGAAGAGAAAAAAAAACAAGTCAGAAACTGACAGTATTTGTGCTGAATTAAAATAAATTATCGTATTCACTACCTTTGTACTGTGAATAATTTAAATTCTTTTTAGTTTTTTAAATTTTCTTTTGGTTCTGAGGGATACTTGAGCTGCACGCAAAAGCTGTTGTTTATGCGCACAATTTTTGACAGAATGGCGAAGATGAAAATTTGCACTCCGGCGGATGTGAAATTTTCCTGAAATATCAGGTGCTTTCATAGATTTATTGAACTAATGAACCATTCAAAAATAAAATTCCAAATTTTTCTTTTGAATTGCGAAATATTTGTAAAAAGATTTCGATACTTCGCCTTCGCAAAATTTGAAAATTATAACTTTGCAATGGGGAAAAACATCGGATCGGCGAGAAGAAGTGCTCAATAAATAGAGCCTAATTATAAAATCAAATTTGAAATAAATAAAAAATGCCGAGGAAACCCGCAATGGAGCATTTCTTTGCATCGGCAGACGATAACAACTCACAGCGATAATTATTCTCAGTCTTCCTCACTCAATATGCAAATCCATGGTTTTCCTCTGCAGAAATTTGTCTTGGTTTGGAAAAAGAAATCAAACCGAGACTTGCGAGGCATAATGTCAAAAACATCAAACTTTTAATCTTTGAGAATATACGATATAGTACAGTACAGTACTTTCAAGGTTATATTTGCTAACTCAAAAACGATTTCTAGAATCTAGATGAGCCCAGGATAATACTAATGTATTAATTTCTCGAAAGCCACAATGGTTTCATACGATATTTTCCATGGAGATGCACATGAAACAAGCACAGTGCAGTGTTTTATTCACGAACATGTGATTTCCGCAAAAGACCTTGAAATCATGTCAACTTAGCTCGATAATTCACGCGAGTTCATCAATTTTGAATTCTTGATGCATCAGAGATTTAAATCCAGCAAAAAAAAGTTAATTTGAATTGCCCAACTTTAGCTTCAAAGTCGACTCCGACAAACGGACAAATTCGACTGAAGAATATCTGAAACTCAGAACGTTTGTCAGGACAATGTCTTGAGATACGGACACTCCACCAAGATTTCTAGAAACACGTAAAATTCAATTGTTAGAACTTCCGACATCTCTTGAACATTTTGAACTATTTTTCTCAACAACAATCCAAAATAAAAAAAATAATCCATATGACTATAAAAAATAATGTCAAGTATAATGAGCACGCCTACACTTTCCAAGATTTTGAAAAAAGTGCGCGAGGTACTCGCGTACCTGTAAATAAATAGACATAATAAATACATGGAATAAATACTGCACATGTAAAAAATACAGTGAGACCCCGAGATGCGGACGTCATTGGTGCATAAAGAGTGTGCCTAAGTTGAAATGTCCGTAAGTCAAGTCTCATTTTCCCTTAGACTTCCATTATATAATTTTAATTGGTGTTTTATGTACAAAATACTCACCATCATTCCATGACAATAAAAATGGTCTCCCAATTGAAACTGATTCTGATCAATATATTTCCACACAATATGGGCATTTGGGGAATTGAATACTGATACCTCTGTACAGTACATAGAAATGTTGGCTGCAATAATATTCAAGTGAAAAAGAGAGAAGGAAGTTCCTCTCTGCTGGAGGTAATTTTTTTAATTAGCCAAATGGATGGTAAATTGGTGAAGGAAATGCCCAAGATCTTTTCTTACATCAATTTTAGGGTGCCCAAGATCTTTTCTTACATCAAATTTAGGGTTGGAAATATCTGTTTCTTGTAATTTGGCCTGAAATGTATTTGAAATTTTAAAACAAAATGTCCCTATGTTGAGTCAGTGCCCTCATGTCGGGACTTTTTTATTAATCTTTCATGAGAAAATAAGTGTTCCTATGTCGAAATGTCCGCAGGTCGAGGTGTCCGCACGTGGGGGTCTCACTGTATTCAAAAAATATATGTACAGTACTTTACTTTAACATAGTACAGTACTGTACAGCTGAATCTCAACTCGAAGCACCATAATTCGAATTTTTCAAGTCCCTGGCTGAATTCTCCAAGAAGAAATGCACCTTAAAAATCGAAGACTTTCCCTCTCTAACTTCCGAAACTCGGATTGTCTAGTGGCTTTTTTTGTCAACTATTTATTTGACACAGGAAATACGAAAGCAATACAAATTGAACTTGATGAATTTTTTAAGGAAGCACCAAGTGGGCACATAAACTCTCGCCTCCAAGTTCAGCATTTCGTAACTCATTTGAGAACATCGACGGAGCAATATAAGCACCCGAAAAAATAAAACAAATTCCAATTTCCTGCATGTCTTCGTTTCTTTCTCCAGAAAAACAAACAAAACAGGACATGGAATGATAATTCGCATTTCCGGGATTAAAATTTATTTATTTAAAAAATAAGAATTAATGATGAACAACGTAAGAGAAGCTATTCATCCCCCTCCTTTTCCACCCCTAATCCCCCACCCTTCAAAAGCTTCCTCTTAATCGCTAGACTTGGGTTTCCCCACTTTCCCCCCAAATGTTGGCCCTCCGATGGTCAGCCCGGAGTCAGTGGATGCGAGGAACGCGGTGCTCTACCAGGTGCTGCTGGTGCTCGCCGTCGTGATCGGCGCCGTGGCGGCCCTGCTTTGCATGCTAGTACTCATCAGGTACGGTGTAGAGTACCCTTTCTTGCGGGTCTTCATCAACGTCGTTTCCGCCTTTTGGCACACCCGTCCCACTTGATTGATTGAAAACACGCCTATAGTTCACCTACTCAACCCCAAAAGGTACTTGCTGGTTCATCGACGCAATTTCCTGCTCCGGATGCACGCCCGGGAATGCGGGCCGGGTCCGGGGAATAAATTCTGCTCCTACGGGTGTTTCACATCGGACATGAGACCCAGGGCCGAGGATGAAGGTGTTGAAGGTGATTATATATATTCTACATAAACATTACTTCCTCCTTCCATTTGCTCCTTCTTTTCTTGGGTTTTATAATATTTTCACAGTGAGACCCCCACATGCGGAAAACCAGAAAAAATCAATAATTAAGGTCCGACATGAGGACACTGACTCAACATGGGGACATTTTGCTATAAAATTGCGAATACATTTCAGGCAAAATTACAAGAAACAGATATTTCCAGCCCTAAAATTGATGTAAGAAAAGTTCTTGGGCACTTCTCTCACCAAATTACCATCCATTTAGAAGTGCCCAAGAAAAGTTCTTGGGCACTTCTCTCACCAAATTACCATCCATTTACCTAATTGAAAAAAATTACCTCCAGCATAGAGGGACATTTACTTTTTTCACTTGAATATTATTTTTGTGGATGCCAAAATGTCAGTGTACAGTACAGAGATACGCTATTCAATGCTCCAAATGTTCTTGTTGAGTTGAAAATGTATCCACTAATTCAAATTCAAGTGGCAAACAATTTCATCAGGGAATTCTGAAGAATATTTCTTCCACAAAACACCAATTGAAAATTATATACTGTAAGTCTATGGGAAAACAAGACTTGACTTGGGGACACTCTTGATGCACCATTTACGTGCCTATCTTGGGGTCTCACTGTAATGTGCTACTTGTCTCAGAAGTTGTACATTCCATGGAAAGATTGGAAACCATTGATACACAAAAAAGGAGGCAATATTTATCAAAGGAAAACGTCTGACCAAGGAATTCTGACAAAGTAATTGTCAAAAATGAACTTCTGGGATCTTCAACTCAGCACAAAGGGATCCCTGCATGACAAAATGGTGGTTCACCCATGAATTGACAGAAGAATGAGAAAGCATCATCATGACAAAATTTTCTCAAGAAACATATTACAAAAAATGTCCAATTTTCACCTGAACATTTTTTTTTAACCAATGAGGTGAATAAATCCAATACTGAGAATAACCCTTTGATTATTGGAACTGCATGAAAAGTTGAACATATCCCCCTTGACCCTCACTAAAAATGTATGGTCCCAAGCCCTAGTTTCTTGAACCTCACCAAGTCAAATTTTCTTGGTCCCATCAAGTTCAACTTGTAGAGGTCCCAATGTATCTTCATGTACTGTATTCAAGACATGGTTTGACAGTTTGCTTTTTCTCTCACAAACTCTAATACAGTACACATTCCTCAACTCAAGATTTGAATCTGAACACTCAGGAGGTGGAAAAAAAATAAGAAAACTCAAGCATCAGACAAATTTGCTACACAATTGTCAGCATCTCTCAGTCTCACAGGAGGTCCAGGAATGGAACTTATTGGCATCTTCCTCTCACCTTCAAGAAAACACCAAGAGCTACATTACATAATTTCCTTTGAGAAAAACAAAGATTCTCCTCTGTCAAGTTTTTGGTTGACTGAATGGGTAGTTCACCTGACATTCCACAAGAAGAATTTCGTGACTCAATAAATCTCAATTTCCGGGAATTTCAAAAATTTTCATCCGTTATGTCATGTTTTTTCTGGGTTTTATAAGGTTCACTTCCTACCTAAGAACATAGGTAAACACGTACTAAGTTGTATTTAAACTGTTTATTGAGAGTTCCAATCTACACCCGGTCATCATGGTATTTCAATTGAGTCTCACAGGCTCTCAAAGAAGGCTTGTGCCAAAATCTATTATCTAAAATTTTTGCAGAAACCTAACCCATATAAAATCTGCGACGAAGTTTTTTTTTGTGGCTGAAAATCACGATCATACACAGTACACGTACAATAATTTACTCCATAACACAACCACCTGACAAATAAATTAAGTTCATAAAGATTTGTATCATGATTGGTGCCAGGCTAAATTGGCAATCCTTTCTTCTACCAAACAAATGATTCCAGAATTCGTTTCTTTCTCAAGAAATATTGATCTTCTAAACACAATCCGTCGTACTTGTGTCATGCCTGAATCAATTAAAACTTACTTTTAAGAAGGCGATTGGCCAACGATTATATCAACAGGAACAAATGAATGGGGCTACTACAGTACTGTGGAAAGATTTTGAACATTAAGATGACTTCATCAGAAAATCGAATACCACAATATTCTGAAAGTGAAAAATTTACGATTCTTCGGAATTGAAAAGGAAGATTGGCGTATTGAGAAATGATTTATTCGCGGTAAAAACACATCAATGTCACATGACTTCATCAGAAAATCGAATACCACAATATTCTGAAAGTGAAAAATTTACGATTCTTCGGAATTGAAAAGGAAGATTGGCGTATTGAGAAATGATTTATTCGCGGTAAAAACACATCAATGTCACAAAGACAGTCAAAACAGTTGCTGCAAAAAGGAGAAACAAAAACGCGTCGCCACAAACCAACTACGGGTACGCTTAACATGAAGAAGTAACTTGCATATTTTAACCACATCAAAACCCGCGTTTCTTACGTGTACCTCTGAGCAAGTCTTACAGAGAACCATTTTAAACGAAATTCTTTCTGTCTTTTGTTGACTCAAGACAACAGGACTCTCTTTGGACGGGTAACCGTCTTCCCTGCTCTAATCTACTTGAGCGTCGTTTTTTGGTACCCGCTCTAGTCATCATTGGTTACCCTTGGACTCGAGGCAAACGAGTAGAGAATGCTAAGAGAAATTTTTCGCACCGGAGCCTCGTGCAGTTCTTTCTTCTGGCGACATCAATGGCTTTTAAGACGCATTCTTCTTTGGGCGTCCACGACCACGTCCGGGAACCTTTGGCTGTGGACAATACGGATAACATTCCGATGAGAAAAGATCCGAAGAACAGTCAATCCATGAATCTTAGGAAGACCATAGTTGACTGAATTAGTTCTTCTTGGCATTGATTCTGCCAAAATGCTTCGCGAATTGGACGGGTTCGCGTATCTCTCAAATATGCGGTTGTCTACGTTTACATCACTACAAGTTCTTTCCGAGGTTCCAGGGCATCAAGAGCCTGAACAAACCGGTAATCATGCCTTCTACCATAGTAAACCAAGAAAACTGTTCGCGAAGAAAAATTTCCATCTCATCCTCATGAGAAGAACATTTTCTTTCTCACATCCTCACAGCATGAAGTTTGGGGATTGGCCTTAGTTGAAAGATGGATTAGGGATAGAAAACTTAAGTGATATGCCTTACCTTCTTCGCAACACCACCAGTGGATCCCTTTGGTCGGCCACGACCACGTTTCGACTTCGGCGCGTCGGCTTCCGGAGAGTCCTCGTGGATATCCTCCTCAGAGTCTTCTGCT